TGACAAGCATCTCTGCCACCGATATAATATTATTATCGAGTATTTGTGTCCAGGAATTATTAATAAAACCAAACCGGAACGCAATATTTATCGGTAGTTGTCGAAATTCCCGACCGTATACGACAGTGGTTCCCAAAATTTGCGCCACGGTGCATACCAATCTATATCGTGATGCAGATAGAAACTACGCGCCATTAAGAATATTATCCCATCTAGAAATTAATTTCGAAATCTGAATGACACTGATAATGGATTCGTTAGTCACAATTAAGTGTGAACAATATTAAGGTCCATTAATATTATTATTTTTTTTTTTTATAAAAAAAACTTTTTTGGTAAGATACCGATGTTTTGCTGATAAAGATATTAAACAAAATGATTAAATCCCCAACAATATTTCTCTAAAATAATTATAATTATTAAAACAAACTGAAAACCATTATCGTTTTATCAGTTTTATTTTAATTTATTTCCGGGCACCTTGGATATACAATGGAGAAAATACGAATGTATTTCTTATTCAGATACTCAGATACTGTCTTTGATTGCAATGATTTAAATAGTTGCCTTGAGAAAATGTTTGTTCAAAAAGAGCGCCAGGAGTTGTTAAAAAGTAGAATTTATTCCGTGCAAATGAGGTCAACTATATAATACAATTACACTTTCATTCGCGTCCTCCAAATCATCTACCCCTATATATAGCCATTATAATGCCTACCTTATCGTGTCGCTTCTATAATAACCTCTAAAAAATATTGTTCTGTTATGAAACCTTCTTACTTTTCCTTTCCCCCCGCTCTTCTAGCTTCCGTTTTCAAAAGACTCGCCTATCTTTTCCCTGTCACCATTTTAATACTATTATTATTTCCCGTTTTTTCCGGGTATTATACTCACTACTTCTAGATTTAGAGACTTATTCACATTTTCTGGCACTCCGGGGTACTATTACAGTTCACTGGAATTTCAAACTGCGCACTAAGATTTTTTATCGCACGCTGTATATACTAGAGTCTATCAGGCACTATTTGAGACCTTTCTGAGCGAGTTAATATCTAAACAAAGAATTCTCATGCTATATTCAAGTAAAATCAGCAACTTATTAACTGATTATGACTTACTTATTGAAATATCACAATTCGGGCTGATAATCCTATTCTTCTCTCCCAAAAAACGTCCTATCATTTATGAATATAAGTAATTATTTTTTTAAGATTCATTCAATCCGAACCGCGATGACAAAAAAAAATCAATTTGTTTTAAACGTTTACAATACATTTTATTAAATATTAATAAAAACCGTGTGTTTAAAACAATATTTTTAGTAAATTTTAAATTAAAATTATCTATAGATTTATTTCTACTCCGTGGGACATTTTTACTATAGATTTTTTCTGTGGCAAATCAACAATTTAAATGATATCAAAAAAAAAAAAAAAATTTGGCCAATTGTTTTAGATAAAAATCCATAACTGAAAATAAGCACGACCACCAAAATTATGATTGCACCACCGTTCTAAAGGTCAAAACTACATAAATATGAATACAAAATATGTTTTTTATAAGAAACGGCAACCCTAATCTAGAAGACCTAATCTGTATATATTTGCAAAAATAATAATTATAACATAATGACTTGATGGTTGATGAAGAAGGCACGTGAATAGGAAAAAGTCAAAAGATTAAAAATTCATACGGGCAAACAGATCAAGTAGCAAAATAAACTATAAAAAATTAAACTTTAAAATTTTAATTAACAATAATTGATTTTGTTAAAATGTGAAATATAAAAACAGAAAATTAATTACTAACGACCACGATTGACCATGATAAAATAATCTAAATAATAATCATACATATATGTTTATCGTGTTATCAGTAAATCATCTACATCGTTCGAATGGAATTGATATTAACATTGCGAATTTACGACGTGAATTATCTATGTGAATATCTATCAGTGATAGACAATTAAGAATACGCATTTTACGATTTCAATGGTATCATTGCCCATTGGTAACGGGGAGTTTATACCGTATAAACTGTACATTATAATGTTATCTCCGTATCAAGCGTTTAGTATCCAAAATAAATCAATCATAGATTATTACCGATTTGTCCATAACAATACCCTAATTTTTTCTCTGGTAATACTTCCATACAACGATACATTAATACCACAATAAATAATCTTGACGACTAGATGGATAACTATAGTCATCCAGATTCTGGGTTATGTTTAAATAGTATAACTATGGTATATACGAATCAACGAATCAGTGTATGTGACAATGCGATAACGCAGAACGACCGAACTCGGCGTGTACATTAAACCGTATCGTTTAATAGGTACCATTAATTGAACACTGAATACTAAGAACTTGAAACCCGCGAATTTCTCGGTCAAAACGAAATACACTCTTCTGCAACGTGGTTGATTACCGAAATCATTATCTAATTGACTATTATAATTTACGTTAGGGCGTTCGTTAAAAATCGTACGTTTGAATCGCCGCGTTCTCGATGTTTTAAACGTTTTATAGGTTTTTTTTTTGAAAAAAAAAAAAAAAAAAGGCGTTTTTTCCAACCCTGCGCATCCCGCGCATCCGTCATCACCTTGACATTTTCGCGCCGACGCTATACGCCCGTTCCGTTTCACCCCACACGCTGCGGCTTCCGGTCGGGTTCTCGAGCCGAACGGTTCCGTTTGGCGTACGGTACCGTGACGTTTCCAGGCGATTTTATAATATACGTATGTGTACGCCGTACGCGATATCGCTCGGTTAAATATTTAATACGCCGCCTTCGGGATCGCTCTTTCCGCCGCCGTCGAGTGTTTTGATTTCCGACGACGGCGACACAATAGCGGCGGCGGTGGCACGCGCGAGTCTGCGTCAACCCTTTCGTCGCCGTCGTCGCCGCGTCCTCCTGCCCGGGACGCCCCGGGCGCCCGACGGCGATGCCATTAAGGGGACCGAAGCCGCGGCGCATATCGCGTCTGTTTGCGCTGTCAACTAATATACGTTAACGGGGTCGTTTCGTCGTGCGGAATCGCGCGTTGTGTGTACAAGCGGCGACAAACACGCGCGGGACGGCGGCGGCGGGAACGCGAGGCGAACGGGACTGAGGGTAAGTGTGTACAGAGGCCTCGGAGACGGACGCACGCGGACAAAGCGACGGAGAGAGTGAGTGAGAGAGAGCCGCGCCTTATAGGGGAGCGCGCGTATAATGAACGATCGAGAATCGCGTCGACGCACGCATAACGCGGACTATTTTCACAATGATATTATGTATACATATATATATATATAGAATACGCTACTCGACCGTCCGCGTTAGTATTTAATAAAAAAAAAAAAATCAAAATCAAAACGTGTTTCCCCGTGACTCCGCGCGTTCCCGTCCCTGGCCCACTGGCCGTTGTCCCGCGCGGTTTTGCCGGTATCGATAACGAACGAATATTATCACGCAATGAAAACGCATATTTCACCGTTTTCGTGGTTACCAAAGTGCCGCGCGCCTTGAAATTATGTTTCGATCGAAGTATAATCTAACAACGGAACACGTTACCGGTTGCTATGGTAACCGTTGTGCGTATCCTCGTGACAAATATTACATGACTTCCTCGAATTACATTGTTATATTTTTCGTTTTCGTTTTTCGTCCCTAACATCGAGGTAAAACAACAAAAACAATAATTAGATTTCCGTACTGACAGTACATACCAAGAACTCATGCACGCCCTATTCAGGACTTCGATACGGAGAAAGTCCTATGTGTAGACTATACGTTATTTATCACGGTTTAGAATACTATATCCATGTAAAGTTGCAACTCAATTCGTTTAGTAATTCAGGTGAAAAGTAGTAAAAAAACATGCATCCATGCGTCTAGACCAGTGGCGTCATTTGGAGATGGGCGGTAGAGACTCCCGCCTTATCATCATCCGACCGTTATCGAGTCGGGTATAAGCTGGTGTCGGTTAAGTTTTGGGCCACAGGCCTGCAAACATTCATTATCAGTTATGATTATGTTTCCTACGGCTATTCTGAGCTGTAGGTTTTAAACGTTTGTTTGTAATAATTGTGTTGATTGTGTACAATATTTTTTCATTTTACTTTTTGTTAAGATTGATTGCACAAATTCAAACTATCGAGCTCTCATTAGAGCTGATGTAAATTTTTGGAGAGTGTCCATTCTGATTTAATCTGTTCTATGATTACACTAATCGTTGTACCATTCATGGAGACATGGTTATATTTTCCTTTGTAAATAAAAATGTTTATACGCCATACGTATTTTTGTAAATAGGACGTAAATTGGGGTAAATTCCCTTTAAACTAAGTCTTCATACAATAGCTAAAAGGTAATACATTTAGGTATCCTTTTACATATATAATTATAACTTAGTCATTGTCGTTCCTAAAGAAAAATAAGATTATTTATGACCACAATAACAAGTATACAATTATATAATAAGGACATTTGTATTGAGATAAAACCTGATTTTTAACAAATTAGTTAATTTTTCAGTTTTACTATGGATTGGTCAAAAATTGCTAAATTTTATATACAATAACATTTATGTCAAAATTTCTAAAATGGCCCGTCCTAAATATGGAGTTCTGAATGGCTTAGGACACACTATATAGTTTTGCTAAACAAAATGTATACCATATAGTGTGATTAAAGGTAATTTAATTTTGAGTATAGCACGTGTTAAAGTACGTATATATACATTTATTATGATCAAAAAATTAAAGGGAAAAAATTTGCATAAAAAAAAAAAAAAAAAGAGAGAGAGAAACACAAAAATGACAACCATTGACTTGGGTTCAATAGGTTTTAAGGAACCAAAGATGATCTCTCGCTGAGTTCAAAACCAATAAAATGCTACGAGGATTCAATATACAGATACATTTTAATTTAATAACATTATTTTATTAGATCAAATATATTTAATGATTTTACAAAACAAATGAAAATTATTAATTTTGAAATATTACTGTATGTGTGTTAAACACTTTGGGTGCAATAATTTACGCTATAATAGTTTATTATGGTATTGTGCACTATTATGTGACCGAGGGTGCATTATTTGTTTGTTAAAATTTATTGAAATACGATATTTTTTTTTTTTTTAAATTATTATTGGAAATAAAATAATACAATATTATCATATTATGATTGCTAAATCGCGTGCGGGTTATGTACGACGACGACGTGATGAATCGTGAATCATGAACGTGATTTCGTATACAGCTAGGTCGGTTGTCATCATTGGTGCGGTTTGACGACTTTGCTGGACGGCGGAGGAATCTTGGTGAATCCGGCCGAGTCGAACACGGGCAACAGGTCGCGTATACGGTGACCGCTGGTTGTCATCAAGTCCATCAGACGGCTGAAACATGTTTAATTATTACATATTATCAATAACTACCAGTTAATAGGACCCTGATTAAAATTCCATAAAAACCATTGGACAATGATCCAAAGTATAGGCGAAAATTGCCTTGAAAAGTGGCATGAAAATGTTTTGAATATGAAAAACTGTGGAAAATTCAACATATAAAAGATTCCTTTTTACAATTTCTACAACTAAAAAATAGAATTGTGTACCAATTACGGTATCAGGACTTGGATTTGAAGGCAAAAGCTTCTTTTTTTTTTTTTTTTTAATAAAGTTGGAAATATAATTTTTATATAAAAATGTGTTTCATTTAATATTTAAGATGAATATTTTGTTTTGTTTTTTTTTTTTTTGCCTTTTTTTTAGTTATAATGCATTATTGATTTTTTGTGTGTAGTTTTATATACGTATTAACGGTAAAAATTGATAAGAGCTTGAAAAAGACGACGCATTGTCAATACTATGTATACAAATTATGTTAAATGGGTTTTACTATCGGTGATATGTATCGATATCGCTAAATTCCTTATTGATTATTTGGTATGGAATGTTAATTTATCGTTTATAAAGTACCCAACTATTTATCTACAGATTAAAATATCTTCTTAATGCGTAGTCGCGTAGAATCAAGATTGTTCGTCCGTTCGCATTCGTCGACTGTCGTTCGCTTTTTAATTGCTTGATTATATAAAATAAATGCTTTTATTTTGCCTTTTTTTTCACATTTTCAATGGTTTATTTTAAGTTTTGATGTTAATACCTTCATATCCGAACCTTACGAACTGTACACCCGCTTCAACGAATGATACAATTCTTCGATATCGTTCTCCCGGTTACGATGTGACTTAAGCGCGAGGAACCGAAACGCACGGTTTGCCATTGGACTTTACTCGACGGACGATAATGCACAAGGTGCAGAAACTGTAATACGCAGTAGGTATACGATTATATATAAAAAAAAAAAACAAATAACGAGCTACTATATTGTATAATATTACCAGTGTTCGGTGTTCAAATAATACGACATTTGCGTGGGTTTTGTGTTACGGTAATGACGACGAAAAAAACCTACAACCATATGGCAACGAATAACGTAACAATAATATAGATTACGGTAATAATAAGGCCACGTTATTATGTATTTTAGTATAAACGGGTTATTTCGGGATAATCGTCGACATTTTATACGGCGGACAACGCGCAAACGGTCAAATACGCCGGATGTTCACGACAAAATATCGTTATTAATAATTTAGAAAGCCGTTGTTGAGGTCCTCTCACAATCGTATTATATTTTAGATACATAAAAAGTTATATTAGTTTTAGATTCTTAGAGGAGCGAGAAATGTGTTGGTTATACAATGGTGTTTTCTTTTTTTTTTTTTTTGCACGTGAACACTTTTTCTACCAGAAACCTTACTCCGATTGTCAAGTATAGCATCTTTTCTGAAAGGTAATGTTCTCTTTATGGTGGTACTTTAAAGATGTCTTTTTTAGATATTCTCATTAATATTCGAAATATTGAGGAAATCTGGTTTTAAAAATGATTGAAAGGTTAAAAATAAGGTTGTCATTGGCAACCGTTTTTATTTATTTTTTGTAATTAAGTTTTTTATTTAAGTTTATTATTTTAATTTTAATTTATTTTAAAACAATTATTATTGTCATGGAAACGCGCATTATACTTTAATATGACATATACATTGTTGAAAAAGCTTCACTGTCAGCTGAACTCTGTTTAGAATCGTTTTTTCGTTAGAAATGGTTAATCATTACTTACAAATATACATTAAATTTCCTTCTGTATTCTACCTTCCCAACTTCCCACCTACAACAGTGGCTGCACACACGTGCGATGTTGCCTGTACTTTTCATTTTATTGAAACTTTTCATATTGTTTATTACGTATTATATATATTATTAATACGATTTTAAAAATAATATTATTTTTGTTATGAATTAATAACAATATAGTAATATTTTTTATTCATTACTGCAACAATATTACAAATACAATGTAATTAAAATAATATTCTATTATTTTAACGATAATGCGTTAAACTGATAATATTTAAATATTATTATCATAACTTATTTACCCTCTGAGAATTTGATAGATGTGGATTATTTGCTAGGTGTGATTAACTTTATTCGAAACATCTAACGACATTTTAACCAATTCATTATTTTCCAGGTCCTTTTTTGGTTGTTGTTCGATTTTTGTTAATTTCTGAGTTACCTTAGCAACAATAAAAAAATAGGGCTTATATACTCCGCACAAAATTGTCTTTTTATTTCCAATAGTATATTATATCTGGGATAGATATTATTACAATCAACTAAGTGCATAACCACTTTTGCTACACATTTAAAAAAAAAGAAAAAAGATTTTCCACATCTACTTTTTAAAAAGTTTAAGGTGCTAAAAAATTCACCTTTTTAAAAGCATTGCGTTATATTTGTTGGTGTTTTAAAAGGGAACGTATTTTTTTATTTTTTTTGTCAATTTTATAAAATGAAATACTCTAAATGAATAATTAGTTCTTAGAATATAATACAGGTAACTAAAACTTATTCACATTTAACGTTTCGACAAGAGAAAATTAAATTATGGTTTCATATTTTATATTATTTTTTGTAAAAAATAACGCTTAAAGTAGGGAATTTTTCGCTGTAATTTTCCTATATTCCCAAAGGAGTATAAAATGATTATAATATATTTATATTTATTTTTTTTTTTACGAATTTTATTGAAATTCATTTTTGTTGAAAATATTTGATTCGGTAGACGAGTACACTTGAAATATTATTGTTTGAAATAATGTAAAAAAAAAATAAATAATAAAATAAAATAACATCTTCTGCCGGGGATATAAAGAAATAGAAATTTAATAATGCTGTGTCGCGAGTAATGCAAAAAGATTTTTCACTATACTCTTCTGACACGTCGTAAAAACGGAATGAAAAATAAAAAATAAAAGGCAGTGAAAGTTTTTGACGTCGTCGGCTCGACGACACATCCAGCAAAATATGACTGTTGTAACGTTTTTAAATGTAATTTTTTCTAAAAATCGCAATAACGTGTTCGCAAGACAATATTTGATGGGGGAAATTATTATCGATTTGATGTTATTCACAGAATGTTTTTTGAAACATGTTGAAAATTCGAAATACGGCCGTGAGTAGGATTTTTGATGATGTATTAGGTTTTTTTTTTTTGTCAATATCAAAAAATAACGACCTTTTCACAGCTACGGTCCAATTTCCTCTCGTTCGATGTGCCGCATAAAATTTGTCTATCATTTTTTTTTTACAATTTAAAAACGTGATTTGCCGAGAATGGAAAAATAATGTAAGCACACGATATTATATCAGTCAACAAAAAAAAATGAAAATAAAAACGAAGACTTCATTACAGTAAATATGTATTTTTACATATTTTGTTGTTTTTTTTTTTTTTATTACATACGGTATTCGTAATTCGAGTCGGGATTATGGTTTTCACCAAATAAAATTCTTCTATTCACCAATTATTTTCTAGAAATGCTAATCAAAAAAATATTTCATATAAGACATGTTTAAAATCACTGTCTAGAGTCTTTACTGTCTTTATTATCAAAACGGCCGCTATCAAAGTTCAACCACACAAATTCACTCACGAATTTGCACCAAGATAATAATAATGTAAATAAATAATAATTATTAAACCAGGACTAAGATGAAATAGGTATAACAGAGTGCATGGGTGACGAGGGGAATGCTTAAGTTTCTGACTTCTGTGATAGTGCGATATTTTTAGAAAAACATCAAATTGCAGTTACAGTATTATGTATCTTATTATTTTTACGATATTTATAATGAATTTTTAGAAAAACATCCGATTACAAATTATTTCAGGGAAAAAAATCTTTAATCTTTATTTTTTTAAATAATATGAAAATTCAAAATAATTAGAAAATTAAATCAATCACATCACATTATTTTCAATTTTACTATAAAAAAATACCCGTTTTTCACGAATCCGGTAATTAGTTTTGTTTAAAAACCATTAGGTAGGTAGAAAAAAAAAGTTTAGCGGTTATTGGTTAACACTAGTTAACTATTTCCTTTGCTGATAATGAATGGTCGCTTTGAACTATTAAAAACTAAGCAGTTTTTCGTTTTTGTTATTGCTTTTTAATTTTCGGTTTTAAGATTTGCGTACATTTTCTGGTAAATGCGGTTTTGATAGAAAATAAAAACACACCGTCTTAGTAAAACTTACAATAATTTCATATCTTCAAATTTCGAATAAAAATATTATACAAATCGATTATGGTAGTTTACTAGTTTTTCGAGTGACCTAGCTATTTTGTACCGAATTTCACTGTTCTAAAATTAATTTTAGTACAAAATAAACAAGTTTGGGAGCACACTTTGCGAGGTTGTAAAGTTCCCGGTTTCTGAATATGGTTTAAACAATAAACTATAAACTCCAAACTGCAATTTTAAATGAATTTGGTAACATAATATATTATGCTCATATTTAGAAACAAAACTAAACCTAAACAAATTAAATATCATAGTTAGTAAATAGTTGACAGGACATTTTTAAAATAGACTATGATTTTATTTAGGGTTGTTATGATTTTATTTATCAATTGTTGGTCACTCATATCGCTGAGCTTAAAACAAGCACCATTGTAAAAACTTATTGACTTTTTACATTATACTAGGAAGCTATGCCTATTACTCAATTCGCATATCCACATTATATGGATATAATATAATCCTATATTATGAAAGATATAAACATCAAAGCGTTATCTTATAATAGAGACATAGCTATAATAATAATAGTAATAATAATAACTAAATTAAAAGATAACTAACTCGCTGTCCCACTTGAAATAAATAAATATTATTCGTTTTTTTTTTTTTTTTTTTTTGTTTTAAATTTTATTATTTCATCCGTATCATCAAGGTAACCAACAAATAAAAAAATTAAAAAAAGTACATTTTACTAACAAAAATATCGACCTTGTGTCAGCTCTTATTTAGCGGTTTAATTTTTTAGAAAACATAGCGTCTATATTATTTTTAGTCTAGAACTATATACATACAGAGTTTCAGCTCAATCCCTTCGGCAGTTTTGGCATGGAGAGGTAACAAACAACCATCCATTTGAACAAATTTTTAAATGCAATAATATTAGTTGTTTACTTTTTTGTAATCAAAAAAATTACAATATTATTTATTTAAATAAAACGAAATTTATCTCGTAGTGAATGGGACTGCGCGTGATATATTTGTTTGTCTTGTTATCTTAACGGCGATAGATAGTATTAAATCTGAAGTATTAATAAGATTAGTGGGGCTCACTAACGTGGGGCTTTCTGATGCACTTATATTTAAATTAGATACCGAAAATAATTTTTTTTAACACAAGTACACGAGATCTCAAAACTTGTGCCATGCAGATACATTTTGTTGGATGTCAAAACTTTTCTCGAATCATCGGGAGAAAAAGAGATAACATTTCAAGAAGCTGCAGGCTATGGTAGTCTTATGAGTACATAAGGCTATCAAAGATGTCACAATAAGACGAAGTTTAAAACGAATAAATGTGTCTGTCGTGTACATGGGAAATCATGCAATTCTAAATGACACACTTCTTTATCATATGGAAATAAGAAATTATCATATACAAATTTAAATAATATTATTATTATTTTTTTAATTACTTAACGAATATACAATAATTATCATAAAATTCAATTTGAATTGCAATTAACATCATTAACTAATATTGTTTGGAATTGACGTGAAGTCTTAGTAAATAACGTTAAAATCCTTACAAATTATTCATTATTATCCATTAACGTTAATATGGATTTAACATCTATTACTGTAACATTTATATTATATAATATATTCTAGTTTATAAATTCTGTGCGAATATAGTTATAGTTATAACCAAATAAAAAATTAAAACCATAATTATTATACACGGTTGCTGCTTGCCAGTTGAAAATCGAAAAGATGTCGGTTATAAACTTTAATAATTTTCGTTTACCGGTTTATTAGTAATCGTGATTATTTATGTTATCCATTTGGTATACTGATTTACGCCCGCTTTCTAAAATCGACTCTCGTCCGTTTTTGGGATCTTGGGAGTTTTGTACTTGTCTGCTTTTTTGGAAAATAAATTCTATCATGTTTAAAATGACAATTTTTCAATGAAGATGACGTCTACCGCATATACGTGTACGTATAGGTCATATAATACAAAAATAAAAACGGATTGTATTTGTTGTTAAGAATAGTTTAAGGGTTTAAATTGTGAGAAAATAATAGACCAGTAATTTTAACCAAATTAACAACCGTAACTATGAACCAGTTATATACGTACCATTTGATACGGTCAGACGGACAAAACCGGGAAATAAAGTGTTTTTTAAACTGATGTTTTCAAGCCTGAACCTGCGATATAAGGTATATTAAATTTATGTTTGGAAATAAAAAGTCGGTACCTATTGGGCGCCAACGGTTTCTTTTTTAACGGCACCGGTGAGGCGGCTTCGACTGGAAAGAACGTGGCTCCGTAAAAGTCCAGCCCGTTGTGCAGAAGAACGTTACACTCCTCCATGGACGCAAGTGTTATGCGGACCACGGGTGGCGCGGCGTGTTGTTGTGCAGTCGTCCCGGACAACGAGAGCCCGGACTGCTGGACCGACTGCAGAAGCTGCTGTTGCTGTTGTTGAATCTGTTGCTGATCGACGGACGTCTGCGATGACGTCATGGTTGCATGCGGACGATACCCTGTGTAAAAACAAAACAAAATAGACCGGATTAGATTCGAATGATCAGTACACGCAAAGTGTTCACGGTTTTTAAAGTCGATCGTCGAAAATTCGACAAAAAATAAAAAATAAAATTTAAACCGGTTTATAAATGATATGTTTTTAAAATTGCAATGGTTTTGTATAGGTAGTAAATATCGAAATATCGCGGATATAGGAAAAAACCTTATCGGTTCACCGCTAAAAATAAGTTCGGATAGTATAAGCAACGTCCTCTCCCCCCGTTTTTATACTAATCGAAAAAAGTATTTTCTCAAAGCAAAAAAAAAAAAAAAACACCTTGTAAAAATTATTTGCATCTTCACTATACACTCACGATTTTAAATAAATTCAACTGATTGTCAATAGCTTTCGATAATGATATTATAAGAAACAAAAAACAGATTAAAAAACAATATTAATTATACAATATTTAAAATGTTAATCATAAATGGTATGGTATAGGTGTGTCCAGAATCGGGCAACGTGTACATGATACGAAATCAGGCCTTTAAAACGTTATTATTATAATAATTAACGATTAAAAAAAAAAAAACAAAAAAAACGATTAAAGTGAATAACATAACAGAAAACAATGAACATACCGCTATATAGCAGACAACAAAAAGTTCGTTTTGGTTTTTAATTTTTATTCGAAAACAAAGGAAAATATTAGTAATTAAATTTTTTGTATCGGCTTTTAAGCTTTAAGGTTGGTTTCGGTACCGTATCAATATTCAGAATAGAACAATTCGTTACAACTACAGTTATACCGTGTTAATCGACAAATGTTCACACGTCTGTGTGGTTTTCACCAACATAATATCGCACGGTACACGAGTAAAATTTATTAGTAGGTTTGAAGCTAATATTTCTGTGTACCGTTGTTTACAAGGGTTATTTATATTTTATTTCTATGTTAATGTGGCCGAATTTCAGCTTGTGGTCGTAACGCATGAGTATACTCCATTTTATTTGTCCGAAAATCGTATTATTGAATGTTACTGAATGTTGTGTATAATTTAAAGTTTAATGTAAACTGCATCTCATTACCATGAAAACTATCTGGTTTCGTCTAAAATAATATAAAATCAATGGCTATGTTTTAAATTTAATAACCATTAAATTTTACATGTTTAAGTTTGCATAGCATTTAATGCTAAGTTTGAAAAAAAAAACATTCAAACAACTAAAGTCGATTAACGTTTAAAACGTTTAACCGCTAACTGGAAAAATGTTATAAACATTTAAACACTAAATATTGCTTATAAGATTTGAATTTCATACAACGGTAAACGATATTTTTATTTTTTATTTAAATCTAGTATAAAATACGTTTATTTTGCGTGTCTTGATACCATACATGAAAGATACAGATATCAAGGATACAATCGATGTTTAAAATTTTAAAATTTATATAATTCATTACAATTATTGTATTTATAGCAATAAAAAAATTTAGTAATAATATATTAATATTATAAAGATTCATACTAAAATTAAATGTTATTTATATTGATTTATCATTGTTGTTCTTTTGAAAAAAATATATTTTGAAAAAATTGTAATGTTTCGTTCCATAAACTAGATCTGCACGGAGAATGCACAAACCGATGTCAATCGCATCTTATCAGATATCTGTATCCAAACAATATGTGTACGTGCAATAGCGTTTATATCTGGTAACTAATTTAATTGTGTCGTAACTATCTAAATTGTCTGCTATAAGTTTTTATTTTATGTGAAATTGCTGCACCGGCGGGAATATATTAATTTCATTAATACAAAAATATACGTAAATAATTTAATAGCCTACTCAAAACAGAATAAATATTCGTATGTTGGGATGATTGTGTGACAAAACTGTCCAAAATAAAAGATTGCTATTTGAAGATTGTATTCTGTATATTATCCTACGATCGATTGTTTTTAATAATATCTTAAAGTGTGGTGAAAATGATGTTCAATGGAAAACTCCTGAACATGATTTTCAAATACATATATTTGATAGCATTTGTGTACGCTGTAACCGTGAAACTGTATATAAGAAACGGTATTTTTAAGTTTTTTTTTTTTTAATTTGACGAAAAAATGTCATACGACTCGGATTCAAGGGAAGATTTTTTATTCGATTGAACCGATACATTTATTTCGAAAAAAAAGCCATTAAAACGTTCCGTTAAGTGGACTACCGTGTATAGTTTGTCATTGAAAATAAATAAATAACGACATTCGGTACATATAAAAACACCATTCGTCGAAAAAAGAAACGCATCGAAGTTTTGCTAAATCGAAATTATATACAAATTTTGTCGATTTAAGATACAATTTAAACATTTAGATTGAGTTTTATTATTTTTATTTTATAATAAAGAGTTTAACTAAAACCTATAGAATGAAATATAAATAATTTAGTTATTGTCGATCGAGTTATTAATAATAAACGATTTGGAGTGCTATGATGAAAGTAAAAAAAAAAAAAAAACCCCAGTAAAGTGTAAAGTGTTGCAGAAAAAATATTACAAACATTGAATCAAATAATAACAATAAGTATTTTGTTGGGCGTTGCCGATGAAACTACGATATATTATATGTTTAAAATTGTATACTTCTATGTTCGTATACGACCCGATTGCATATAATGTGTTAAGATCAAAAATTATATTAACGCCAACGAATAAATGCACTCATTAAGATGAAGGTTTTATAAAATGTTTCCTATTTTGTATTTTTTTTTTTTTCTAACGATTTTCTAAAAAGATAATACAATTTAAATGTAAACCACAACAATCTAGTAAAAAAACCTAAATAATCATAATTGGTTTTCAAAATTGTAATTCTTCATACAAAATCGCTTTAGTTTTGTCCGACTTTTGAGTATAAATCTACTAAAACATAGTTCGTGGCATCAATCAACTCAAGTAAAATAGTAATATTTCATCGAGTATAAAGTATTATTCATTCTATACGATACATAAACTTTAGAAATGATATAGCTACGATACTTAAAATGTTTTCGCGATATAAATGCATTCGTTTTCAGTTAAATAATATCATGTTTAGCGCTAGTATAAAATCGTGTGCGTTCACAACGGTATAGGAGTCGTAATTTATTAATTATCGGTAAATGTACACTTTTAAACTTTGTATTTCCAAAATGCTAGGCAAATATTCGGTGAGTTGTCAGTTCTAAAGTTCAGTGGGTTGAAATTCAAAAATTGTTATGACGTGCTTTTAATGGAACATAAGTGTGCAGTTCAAAAAATAAATTGTTATTGAAATCTACATAATTAAACGCATCTTCAATTAGCATAGTAATGTTGTGGTAGTTTAAGGACGTTTGAAAATGCTCACCAATTTAGATTTGTATACCGATTAATCGGTGCTAATTACAACTGTGGAAGGTAACGATTATTGGTCCGTTGAATTAGTGAACCGAATCAATACGGCAAAAAAGCATCATTTAACCGTACTAAGTATTTCAAAACAAAGCGATTTTCCAGAAGAATCGAAATGCGTCTTTACGCGGTAATCATTAGTTCATATAATATACGATTGTCACGAGTGGGCCGTAATTAACTGAATGGAGAAAAAAATTATGCCATTTGTGAGCAAATTATTGAGAATTGTCAATAATACAGTATGCACCATCGTACTGGAATACTGGTGTCGGAAAAATAAACAATGATTTTATACGGGATATGACAGGAGTACAGAAGATACCGAATTTCGTGAGGCCACAGAGAACCCAGTAGTTTAGACATGTGACGAGAAGACTGGAATCAATAAACCCAATTGTAGAAAGAGCGTACACAATCATGAGGAGTGGAAGATAGTGTCGGTGGGGTTAAAAACTCTTGAAAAGTTGTGATACCGAGAAGAATAAAAATAGAAAGAAAATAGTTAATTTTAATAACGATTGAATAAAGACCAACATACTCAAAATCATATTGTGATAGAAAAAACCACACAAACTTGTGAACATTTGTCGATTAACGCGTTATAACTGTAGTCGCAACGAGTTGTTCTACTTCAAGTATTTAAGTATACGATACTCAAACTTACATTAAAGCTTAAAAGTATATAATGTAGAGATGTGTTTATTGTTTACTGATATGTCATCTGTTTCCGAATTGAGAAAAACCTAGAACAGACAGGAAAGTCTACGGCATTATTAGTTTCTGTATTTTCGATTTTGATTTCTGTTGTAATCGTAGAGACCTGCAATTTTCATAGATTACTTATATTAACATTTTCTAGACGTGGTATAATATTTTCAAGAAATGTTTAACTGTTTGTAACCATTTGATATTTTCGAGTTTTTTATTTTTAGTATGTTTAAATTTGATGAAATTGTTTGGCTGAACAGAAATGCTTCGGAATTTAATTAGACGCGAATTTTACATTAAACTCGGTGATTAAATAATAATGATAACAATAATAACGAGCGTAATGTAGTGGTTTTTATACGCCATTCAAAAACCTATTTCGACATTTCAAAAAATACACAACCAAATTCCGCTTACACTCAAGTATTCATTAGCAATTGTTTATCGTCGCGCACATATCGCATAAACGAAATACACATTTTTTTTTTTTTACGCATATTCTACATATTCTTCTGGAACGCTGGCACACTCATCAGCAGTATCAGCGTTGTTTTTGCGTACGTTGAAGTCTCGGTTGCTCGGGCGGGGCGCGGTCCGAGTTTGACGGCTGTTTCGAAATCTTCTGCGGTTCGAGACTGAATAAAACAATCGCTCTGTATTTCGCACGTGTACACACTAACGTGTAATATAGAGAACGCGTCGAGTGGTACACACACACACACACACATGTATGTACGTAGGGTGGTTTTTGGCGCCCGGCTGGCCGTATACGCGTGGTCGGTCGTAATTATAGAACGAAAGCGGCGGCGGCGACGACGACGACGAAATCCCTCGTGACGGCGGCTAACGGAGGATATCGGTCGCGGGTGTGATGGGGAAAAAAAAACACTAAAACCGAACGCGGAGAAGGAAAACGGGAAAAACGCTGTCGTGCGTCGTCGTGCTGTGCCCACCCGCGGTCTTTTCGCTGCCGCCGACGACACGACGCCCGTCGGATTTTTAGAATTCAATTATCGACGCGACATATAACAAATACAAGTGTACGTGTATAGCGTGTACGTATTGATACGCGAGCGGTTGTTTGTGTATCTTTGCGTCGCGTACGTGCGTGTTTGCGCGTGTGTAGCCAATCGCCGTTTGTTTTTGTTTACGCACACTCACGTAGGCGCGCAGGGTACGCAATGTCTGTTATACGCCGGACGTTACCGGGGTGGTGTGGGGTGGGAGGGGAGGGAGAAAGAAGGAGAAAAAGAAGAAAAAATAAAATAAAAAAAATAAATAAATAAAAAGGACCACGGCATTATATTATTGTTATTCGCCCGGTTTCTTTTTGTTTCGGTTTCATTATTATTATTATTTTTTTACCCGAGCAATCAATATCTATAACGAGAAACGCCACACTTCTCAATTATAATACCTATATGAGGGAAAGTGGGCGAGTGTGGGGGGAGAGGGCGGCGAAAGAGAAACACTTTACTACGATGTGACGTGTATATAATATTATATTTCCAAAGTGCACGCGGCGCGCGTTTATAAATCATTTTAATAAGACCGTCGTCTGTTTTTTTTTTTTTGTTTTTTTTTTAATTGAAACCCTCCTACGACATCGCCGGATATTCGATACACCGGTGGGAAATTCGCGCGCCCGTAGGCGTTAGTAAAATAAATTGTTATTATCAAAAAAAAAAAAAAAAAAATCAATCTCGTCTCAAATATTATTTTAATTATGATATAATACAAGCAGGTACCCTGAAATACACGAACTTTTCTCGGCATTTCGGTAAAAAGTTATAACATTTTACGACGGCGTTACAAAACAAACTAATTGTATTGATTAAAAATTTTGCTCGGTAACATGGACCGGTGTAAATGCAAAAATTCACTGTCGTGAAATTTGACCCTCGATAAAATATCACTAGTAAAACAGTATCCACTTTGTAAAGGGGTTACGGGGTTGATAATAGGCGGTGAATTTTCAACCCCCTGTTCAAAGTTCTCTAGCGAAATTTTATTAAAAATTTTAGTGCACGATGACTACGGGTGTTATATTTATTTAACTGCTGTTGGAGAAAACCAATTATTAAAAGTCGTGTTATTTTAAAAACTGTCGGAATTTACGAAATACACGTCTACATTATATTAAGTTATACTACTCAGAATATTAATAATGATTTCATAAAATGGAAGAATTGTTTGTTGTGAGAAAATAAATAGATGACCTTTATTTCATGATCTGATTCGATCATCCAACAGCTTTTAAATTACTTTTTCTTTTTTTTCTTATTGTCATTTGTAAAACCATTTGTAGATTAAATTTTTGATATATTTATTTATTTTTTTTTTTTTTTTATTAACATTTTCAATCTATCTTATAGGGAAAGCTTTTTATATATTTTTTTTTTCTAAGCCAATAACCACTGTATATTTTATAATGGAACACATAATATTAAACTAAAATGAAAATTCTCTCGATCGAGTTTTATGGATTATAAATGTTACAAATTACAAATCGAATGTGCGCGTATTTTGAATAACAATCGAATAAAAGAAGATTTAAGTATAATAAATATTTAAATAAAAATGTAATACAATAAAAAAAAATTAAATATACACGCAGAACGGAAGGAAAAAAAGAGAAATAAAAAGTATTTAACATAAATACGCTCACAGACTAAAAAAAAAAAAACAAAAACAAAAAAAAAAAACAGTGTGTACCTGCCTACTCAGAATATGATAAATGATTTAAATATAATAGTTCACTCTTTTTTACTGGAATATTCGCGTTCATTATTGTTGTGCACAATGAGTATAGTTTTATATATTTTTTTATTTTTTTTTTTTTTGCTTATTATACCTGTGCGGTATTGTGGTATTCTCTCAAAGAGAACAAGACTTTAATATTAAATAGGCGTCAGTGGCGTATTCAAAGTGCCGAAACCTCCAGTAACCACACAATAAATAAAAAAGAAAACCGGAAAGAAAATTAAAATATTATGGCAGATATTATCATCATCGTGTTGAACCGTCTGAGTTTATGTTTCTGAATTGTGATTTATAATATGGTAAAAAAAAATCGAAGTAAAAGAGTACTATTTCTTTGGCGTCCTCTTCATTAAGAAGACGCCACACCCGCATCTACTGGCGCTGCATTACAAACGCACCAGGTCTGTGTCCTTGCGTCGGTGGTTTTTCGATATTTTAATTTCCAAAGCGAGTTTGCGGAATACACTTCATTTAAGAATTTTAAACATCGAAAAAAATCGACGTAGGTGTACAGATAATGTGCTCGCCATCAAGTTTGGTAATAATTCCGTCCGCTCTAATGTTATAACTTATAGTACACCGGACGCGGATTTGCGTTTGCAAGACGGAGACAGTATAGATGCGGGCGTGGCATTGTCTAATAGGCACTTACGGAGACATTATCCGGTGGGTACTCCGGATAATGTACAAAACGAGACGCGCCAAATATCGATGGCATTGGCGTGTGTAAAAGTAAAAGTATACAAATATTATAGCAGACCTCAAAATCGATAAATATTTTTTCAAGACATTCTCCGGAAAAAATTCCAAAAACGGGCGCGTCATCAATAAAACTATCGATCACATGATCAATATAATTCTAATCTAACTATACAAAATATAATATTATATTCGTTATATCGTTTTATTTTACACGAAATGGAGGAGTTTTCTCGCGAAACGTTAATTCGTACGAATTTGCGATTTGTTCCGAATGATAAAAAAAAATTTTAAAAATCGTTTTATTGTTATCACGGAATGCGGCTGATGATGCAGTGGTAAAAAAAAAAAAAAAAAAAAACGAAAATAAACATCGCGAAACCACTTTCATCTAAAGTAAATAAAACTTCGTAGGGTTTTTTATTCGTCACAATTAAAAATTGTAGCGTAGCGCGGCGGTGGTATTAATAAAAAAGTATACGAGCACAACCCGTTGTGATGACGTGTGTAAAAATACGACGGGGGAAAAAGTTGTGACAATAAAATGAAAAAACCGTATAATTAAAAAACCAGAAAAAAACCCTGTACCTATATAGCGTTAATATTTTACGATGGTATTGTTCCCCACAGTACACCGCCGTATCTGTCTATAATATTATATTGTGTGTTATAATATACGATCGAGTACTTGTTTCGATACGAACCAAAAAAAAAAATCCCCAACGCGTGATATCATATTTTTTTCAATTCTCTGCGAAAGTTCGATTTAAAACGTAACAGATTTTTTTTTTTTTTTTTTTTGTAAAATAATGTTGTTTCTGCGTGGCGATTTTTCGTCGGTAAAATAATTATAACTCGACGAACTTCTTGGGGGGGGGGAGGACAGGTCGGAGAGAACTATTTATTCTTACGTGCGATATAATATCAAAAACAAAATCCTTTGTAACCCGCCAAAAAGCACGTGAAAGTATTCTTCTCTTCTTCTGGATTCATCGTGAAATCAACCAATAATACCAACATGTTTACATAGAAACAAAGAAGGTTACGGAGAATCTGCAGAAACAAAAGTGCTCGAGCAAAATCGCATAATAGTGAAGCCGATCGTAAGGCTTTTTGACTTCCATTTGCTTGTAATTTAAGCGTTATCTGAACGGAAGTCCCAAGAAGTCTCAAGAAGTGTTCAACGAATAATGCACCTCGCACCGTTCAATATCAAACGTAAAATGGCTGCTCATAATACATAAATAAATAAATAAAACTTCTATGCACTGCTGACGAGTGTGCCACTATTTTAGTAGGAGGGTGGAATAGGGGTTATGTACATAAAGTAATTTAATTTACATTTGTACAAAACGTTGAACAATCACCACGGGATAACGTTTCCGAGCAGAGTATAATAATTAGTCGTATTGTTCGCTCGGTGTCAAGGTAGCACAGAAATCAACTACAATAACTATACGGAAAATCGTCAGTTATTCCCATTTATTATAAATAAAAAAAATACAAAGAAAATCGAAAACATATCCGCCTCGGTACACCGAGTAGATAAAAAATGTTCCGGTATAGTTTCTTTTTAACGCACGCATTCGTATCATAGTAAAACCAATACACTATCCTCGTTTCGTTCAGAATCTAAAATTTAATTCGACAAGAGGTATTTTTAACCGACTGCGGACAACACGGTGGCGAATAACGAAAACTTTTTTAAACTCTGAGCGGACCAAGGAATATATCGGTTTTTGCAATGACATACATTTTTGTTTTACTGTTTTATACTGTTTACGAAAATTCTACCAGAAATCTTGTTCCGAAGTATCGAGTGTAGCTTCTTTTCTGAAAGGGAATTAGATTTAGGTGGCGAGGAGCTGATGTTTTTTTTTTTTTATTTTCCCAGTTGTTGTCGTAATTATTGTGAAAAACCGGGAAAATAGGTAGGAACAATATTAAACAAAATGTTAATAAAGAAAATAAATGTACGAAGCAAGTGTAGTTATTTTACCACAACGTGACATTGTATCATATTGTTGACAAAACGACACCATACTAACCGAACCTCGCTCAGAATCGTTTACAATTAGTACGTCCGTATCCATTTTTTTTTATTCTTCTAATAACTATGTAGTTTTCTTCTAAATCCGTCTAATAAATCGTCGGGGACCGGACGACGCGTTAGCCGGTGAAGGGGCGGGCCGGGGAGCGCGAGTCGAGTTTTCGGAACGGTGAAATTCGGCGTGAAAACGCCGTGAAGCGACGGCGGCGGCGGCGGCGGCGGCGGCGGCGGCGGCAGTCGGACGGCGCGATGACGGGCGGGCGGGCGGCGGCGGCGGCCGCGACGGCGTCGGTGCGGGCCCGCGCGGGGTTCGAGTGTCGGCCGCGGAAAAGGTCACGAACGTTACGGGAATTTTCTTATTATATTATATTGGACCGGTCGGCGGCGGTCGTTAGTCTCTCTCGGCGGCGGGCCGCCCGCGCGGGTTTTAAACAAACGATTCGGCGCCGCCGTCGGCGGAAAAGTACAATAATGTACGCGCGCGGAAAACGCCAAACCCGCCGTCCCCGTTCCCGCCCCGTGCCGCCGTGCCGCGGGCCGCGGGGCGCCGTCCGGGGCCGGCGGCTCGGCTGTTGCGCGCGCTGTCGCCGCCGCCGTCCGAGTCGGCGGCGGCCGAAGAAGAGGCTATGTCATTGTCGTGGACGCGTGCGTGCGCGTATACAGGGCGGTTCTTTTATCGCGGCCGGCGCGCTCCTGGTCCCCGGGACGCTTCGGTTCCGCCACCGTGCGCCGTCCGGCGGTCTCGGACGACCGCGGGACGGCGCGGACGGACGTACGCCGGAAAACGGCAGGGGCGGCGACGCGGGAAAAACGCGTTTGTCAAGCGCGCGTGTTCGTACGACGTTATTTACGGAAAATTTAGGGGAAAAAACCGATTCTGAAACTGTAATATTACATTACGGTACGTATTGTAAGTTTCGCGATTCCCTTCCGTACGGAAACTATTTCTGACCGGATTCTTAATTTTTTTTTTTTTCGCACATTACCGAAGCGACTTCATCATTTAATTAAAATAAAAAATATGTTATTATTTCGGTTATTCGGGGTGGGGGGGGGAAACTATTTTATTCCGGAAATATTCCGAGATTTTGATCCTCAAATATCCTCAAATCCATCGCTGGATGTACCCGGTAGCTAGAGTGGGAAAAACTTCGATGGGAGACTGCATTTACCAAACAATTTAAGGGCGTTCCTCAAAACTGACTTAATCCTAACAAACTTTCAAGAAAAACCAGCAAGAAGACAAGACTCCAAAATGTTTTCCTCCCAAACACGTTTGTTTTTTAAAGATGCTATGCACTTATATTAAACGAGTATACAAATTAATTTCGCTTATCACCTCTGTTCAAAATATTACCTTACACTCATATTTTCCGTTCGACAAAAATAGAGTAAAAGAGAGTCTGATTTTGTATTATCAAATAGTTATGAAAGAAAATTGAATTTTTCCAAAAATTATTCGAGTTTATAAAATGTTCCTAAAACCATCTCAGTAACAACAATTAGAACGTCTCTCTTGACTTCAAAGACTTCGGGGACTAAATAGAACGGATAATTTGACTTTTAACACGGAGGGGACTACACCCGCCACTATATTTTCTCTTTGACGACTGTATACACCGTCTTTAAGTTACAAGTTTAAAATGTCGGTCAATAAAGAAAAGAAAGGTATGTCATACATATATTTATGTGTCTCGGATTTATACATTTAGTATCCGTGTTCATCTGATAGTGTTACCGATACTTTTGCAATGGGAATCGAAATATTTAGACAGAAATTCTTTTTGAATATCTGTTTAAAATAAAATGCGTGTAAGTAGCTAAAATGTTGGGAAAAATAAATCCGATGAGGAATAAGATTGGAGGGTGAAATCTTTAATTCTAAAACATAAATACGAATCATTGAAACGATTTCAATACAAATAAAATACGGCGGGGAGTAGGTACGCAAAATGTCCACGATTCATACGCGTTCCGTTAAAATTTGTCTTCAGTCGGGAGTTTATAATCAATATTTTTTTTTATTATCATTGCAATAAAACCGTCGATTAACATTGTACACTATTTTAAAGCGTATATCGAATATCTATTCAAAAATTGCGTGTCCATATAAAACGGGGAAAAAAAATTCGAACATTTCAAAAAGCTGTACTGATAGGTAACTCGGTAAAATATCATAAATGTTTTACGGCATTTGGAAAATATTTCACAATGACGTTTTTAGTGGCCGGCTAAATTAAATATGTTTGGAATTTCCGTATAAATTATCATTGGTTCATAATAAAGTAATATCAGCTTGTATATATAGAGGGTGTCCCACGGAAATCAGACAAATAACTTTTGTTATGTTCAATATTTTTAACTTGTTTATCCGTTATTATTTCTGTAAAATTGTGCTACGTTTCTCTTGTTTTTATATTTATATATAAAAAAAAAATTTAATTTAAAAGTTTACATTTTCTACCAAAATGTCGGTGTTACGAATGTTGTTACAAAACGCGGCGTTTTCGTGAGAAAAACCATGAATTTATTGACATTGTTAAATGGTGGCGTTGAAAACGATTCGAATTGCCTTCGACCGGTTGTAGAAAATTAACGTCTCGTCACGGACGAACGTGTTTCGCAACGCCGAAATGCCGTTCCAATGTAAACACGTTATAAAACGGATATTTTTATATTTTTCAGAATAAAAAAAATTTTAAAAATCGATCATATTTAACATGAGAACCGGATGGCGCAATAACGGACGCTCTAGTAATTATACGGGAATAAAAGGCGAAAAACATTGCGCGGAAAAGTTATCGCGTTTATCGGATCTCCGTCGGACACCCTGTATATACGTACATAATAATATGTAGCACGCCGGCCGGTCGGAGGTATTAATAACCGACCGGCGACCGCGTTCCCGAACCCCTCTCGTTCCGGTCCTCCTGCGCCATCCGGTATAATATATATATATATATACATATATATAAATGTACTTTTATATATATATATAAATGTATATATATATATATATATATATGTGTGTACGCACACTTTTCGCGCAATCCCCTCGTCCTTCCCGCCGCCAACTGGCCGCCGCCGACAACGTAGCGGACCCGCCGCGACGGCCGGGCCCGTTACAGGGGCGCGGACAACCGACATGATAAACGACGTAGCCGACGTAACACGGGAACGCCACCGCCGCGCGAATCGACTCGGCGTTCTATCAGGTACGTCGGTCGGTACCCGCGCGCGCGCGTATAAATCAACCCCTCGCGGGCGCCGCGGGCCCGGTTCCCCGACCCGCCCCGAAACGCGAATGTTCTTCGAGCGCCGCGGTTGCCGGCCGCGGCGAACGCCCCCGAAAATCACCCGATTCGCGCGTCCGCGTGCCGCGTATATTATTATTGTTGTTATCGTATAGGATTGAATTCGGCCGGACGGTTGCACAACCGAAATGGCGGACGCGTGTGATAGGCGCGGCGAATTCGAATAATTGCCGGTTTCATCAATCGTCGGTTAAACGGTCAGGCCACGGCGTGTCACCAGTGCTCGGACTCGTCTAGATAATTACTGTTTGTTCGTCTTTTATCTCGTCTAGTATTCCAGATAAATTGTTATAAGGTACCCGAACATTTATCATTTAATAAATGTGTTACTCGTCTAAATGAATCCACCGAAATACGTTTTAGATTCGGAGCGTGGCGAGAGCGACCTATTGGTTTTACAATAATGTGTGTGTATTATTATTATTATTATTATTTTTGTATTTTTCGTTTCTGTAAAATAACTTTTCTACCAGAAAACTCGCCTCCAATCATAGACTACGGTGCCCATTTCCGAAAGGTAAGTTTCTCTTGTTCTCTCTTGATGCAACCGAAGGTCATTTTTTGATTTTTCGGAATAACCAGGGAAAACTGAAAGACAATATTAGGTAGAACGGAAACGGGGTGCAAAGGTGTTACTGTTTTCGTTTGTTTTCATTGTATTTACAGAAATATTGTAAATATAATAATAATCCAATACAATATTGTAAATATTTCTACCAGAAATATTGCTAAAAATTTTAATTTGAAAATATGAAATTAATAACATTTGCCTAATGAGTTATGAACACCCATTTTAAAAAAAATATATCTTTTTTTTTAATCTTTATCCTTATCTAGATAAATGTGAATTTAACTATCTTTTACCTATATTCAGATACATTTGAGTTGCATTATCGTTTTTTTTATCTAGATAAAGAAATACTTATTCAATTTGAACACTGGGCGTCACGCCGTTTTCTCTTGTAAAATCCTATCGTCTCGCGTAGGTTATAACGTTCAATTTATTTCGATAGTTTTGAAAACACATTTAAACACCTAATTGACGATACGATTCAACTAGGCGATAAAATAAATATACGCGTCGTAATAGATTTTCAAACGGATAAACTCCACTAAACTGAATCACATCAAACACAACATTAACAATTGGATATTCCTATAGAAATAACCAGCAAATTTGAAGTATACCTAACAAGACTCAGAATCAGACGCTCTCGAATCTCCCACAGTCGCGGTGTCCAAGCAGTGGCATAGCTATCGCGTAGGCCTGTAAGGCCCGGGCCTACCCACTTTTCTCCAAAAATTAACACAGTTATAAAATCAAAAATATGTATTAGTAGTCTTTTATATTCAACTATTTATGTTATTTTATCCGGTCTATCAAGAAAAATATTTCTAGCTACGCCTCTGTGTTCAAGTCGCCATTAAACACATCCTTACTGGATGCCGAATGTACCACGACATCAAAACAAAGTCCAACTTGCCTGAATCACTTGCTGAAATACTCCAAAATCATTCCCAGCCAATATCCCAACATTATCGAATTTATCACAGCCGCCAAACTTCAAACCAAGATTTAAAACCCTAAGAATAATTATAAGAAGTACAGAATTTTTGTGATTACGACCCATGTTGCCGTGGGTCATTATAAAAAAAAAAAAAAAAAAAAAGGATATGTCGAGGGTTACTCGTGCGAAACAGTTTTTTTGCATTGTTTCGCAAAATACGAATAATATGTATACAATCTGGTTGTATATTTCTGTAGCGACAAACAATACAACATTGTTAAATATAACAAACTACATTAAGGTACTTAGGTATACTCGAAATTGAAAAAGATTTGGTTTCGGATTTGAATACAGTATTCTAAGCTCAGAAACATTTATTTTTTTTACGTTTGTCCACCGCCGCCTGTTGGCGCGTGTCGATCATCGAATGTTGTAAGTTTCGGAAAAACTGTCGGGAACCTATTGAATAACGTCTCGTGTTTAAAGTACACCGGCAGGTGGAAAGCCGCGTCTTTTACGGTTCAGCGAACGTCAGTAGAAAACTAATTATTAGTTTTCATACATTGAATTATTCATTGTATAAGTAGTTATAATAATCATTTAATTTTTACACCGTTGCGTTTTGTTAAGTTTTTATAAACTTTCGGTTATGCAACAAGAACGCCACAGAGTTTCGAGAATCGCATTATTCAGAAAACAATCCGGGCTATCGGGGCGTGAACCGGCGACGCGGTTACGCAGTTAAAAAGTTATTCGGGCAAAATAGGACACAATAATTTATACTATCTCGTATTCTTTTACTGTTTCCAGGATATTGTTATAGTATCGCCACTCAGTGGCGTAGCCAGGATTTTTTTTTAGGGGTTGTTTTTATTTTGTTTTAGATGTAACTTATCTGTAACTTTACCGTGTGCATGTAACATACATAACATACATTTAATAACTATCCGTGCGTAACACTGCACATCTTGTAGAAATCTGATGCATAACTGCATATAATGAACAATTATAATTTTCGGCACGAAACCAGAACGCCGAAACACCACTCCCCCCGACGGCACCGTCGCCCCTAGAATATAGACATATCGATAAGCGGACTGCGTTTTTCTCACTTTCCGTCGTGATGATGTCCGTGAACAATATTGGATGAGACGGATATAGAGATAGTCACGGGCAATCGTCGATGAAATAATTTAACCTTTATTTCTTATACCGTGAAAGTAAATGCAGACATATCGAGCTAATAGACAACAAATCAATAATAACAAACTGTACAGTATAAATACTACGAGTATTGATTAATTTATCCCATGACTGCACCCAACTAGCGCTATCTCTCTCGCTCAGTATCGATACTCCCGGTCGGTCCCGCGAACGCAGTTAATTAATTAATATATTCGGGATGAAATTTTCGATACCAAAAAAAAAAAAAAAAAAAAAAAAAAAAAAAAAAAAAAAAAAAAATAATAAATGATAAAACAACTGAAACAGAAAATTGAACAAGTATACAACAGCTGGTTTATAATCAACTGCCTGCGCGTTTAGTGTATTACGGTTTATGGATTTCACACGGTATACAAAACCGGTCAAAAGTAGACTGTAAAATAGTAGCATTTCGACTATCTACCTCTGTGTATGTATAGTGTCGCGTGGAACGGGCTTCATACATAATGCAAAAGCTATTCGTGACATTTATAAACCGGCGTAACAAACCGTGCCACACTGTATAATAATATCATAATACGTGTGTATAGACGTGGAGCGACAGCACAGAGTGAGAAACGTAAATAAATAAAATGTGCCTTTAATCAGCACAAATGGACTCGGCGGGGGCGCGAGCGCGCTATTAATATTTATTTTTAATTTGCACTAAGTGTTTTTTTTTTTTTTTTTTACCCTGGGCCACAAATTATTATAATAATATATGGAAGTTTACCTTCCTCGACCCGTCATCGTTCCCATTGCCACCTAAATTCACAAAAAACAAACAATATTTCTGGAAAACAGATGGGAAGCATACATATATTTCATTCCAGGGAATAAACGCTCAAGTGTATTTGGTTGTTGTTTTCGATATTCTCTAATTTTCAATTCCGATTGGAGCGAAGAAGCTTATGTGGTTTTACAATGATGGTTATTTTCTATTTTTTCCGTGAACAACTTTTCTACAAGAAATATTGCTCCGATTTACAAGTGTAGCCCTTTTTCTAAAAAGGAAATCGAACTTTAATCGTACTTTGAGGAGGCCATTTTTTGATTCTCCTGAGAGTTTTTTCAAAAAATGGTAAAAACGGTAAAATTAACGAAATGCACGTATTATTAGTTAAATAATATTACGGCCTTCTTTTTTTCTGTGAATAACTTTTCTACCAGCAATTTCGATCCAATTTACTGGGGGCAGTACTTTCAAGTGATCAATTTTTGATTTTCCCAGGAGTTTTCCCAATAAATAGGAAAACCGGGAAATAACGTAACAAGATAATAGGTACAATATTAAACAAATATTGTTAAAAAATATGTTTGATGCATGTGTAATTATTATACGATAATATGACATATATATTGTGGACAAAGCAACACTATTAACTGAACTGTGCTCAGAATCGTTTTTCGTTAGCAATGGTCAATCGTTGTGTACAGATACATGCATTAAATTTCCACTTTTCAACTTCACATTTACAACAGTGGCCAACTTACGTGTGAAGAATGTCCGTCTTTTATAAATCTAACTTTCCTCTTTGGGTATCCAAGCAATTTAAAGATTTAGTGCTCATAAAAATAAAACTTATGCAAAGTTCGAATCTGTATTTAAACTTTCTGATTATATATAGTGTTGATTCTTTGTTTTGTACAAAATATAACTCAGTGTCTGAAAAATTTCCTTAAGTTTTCTTTTTGAAATGGCAGACAATTCTTTATCCTCAAATCCTAAGCAATTCTGGAACTTTGTACGTAGAAATTGGCCTCATAACGTTGTTCCGAAAATGGTTTCGTGAGATGCTGTCAACAGCTTTCGTAAACAAGAAAAAGTAGACCTTTTTGTTAAACATTTCTATTCTGTCTATTCATCTAAATCGGTTGATTTCTACCGACGGTTCTTCAAATTGCTTAATAATTATTATTTCAGTATCAACGGTATTCTCCTCAAACTTTAATAGCCTAATGGAAAATTGGCTCTGTTATCCTTATTTGAAATCAGGCAGTTCTTTTGTAATTAATTGTAGACCCATTTGTATACTGGGTCGTATGATAAAAACATTCGAGTCTCTAGTCTTGGATATCAATCAATCATCAGTCAACTTGAATTTAGCTAACGGACATCATGGATTTTATCCAGGCGATCTGTTGTCACGGTTGATCTATACTTATTGTAATGAATTATATAATAAAATACACGTGTACAATAATTTCGTGTTGAGAATAATTGACGGGCTGGATAACAAATTGATAACTGCGCTTATATTTGTTTTGTATCTTCTGTAAAATGTATTTTTTTTACTTGCGTGACTTGACTTCTGTGGCACAATATTATTACATTACAAACTGTCATTTAATTCACTGGTAGAATAGTAGGTACAATTAACTGTATATCTATATTTCGTTGGTTGACCAGAAAAACCTCGTAATTAAATTTTGACAAAACATACAAGAAAACCGAAAAATTTGTAACAGACTTAACAATTTACCGAAAAAAAAAAAAAAAAACTTCAAAATTCAATGTATCGATTTATGAGAATTTATTGGGTGCCCTATGGTTTCAAAAGAAGCTAGAAGTGAAATCAAATAAGCAAACAAATCATGCGGAGATTCGCCTAATAGAAAAAGTGTCTGAAATCAACGTCAGTTGTAAGACGTATAGAGATTACATTTATTTAGAATAAGGAACCTACACAATTATTACTACTGCTCGTGTTTGTTTAATCACGGCCGAGAAGTAAGTGAACTGCACACGATTGCGGTTCGATCTGAAAACCCATTATAAGAGTACACCGTATTTCTGTGCAACCCCAAATGCTAACATGCCTCGGTGACGATAACCACATTTGAAGTTAATGACGATTTTATTATTATTATTATTATTTTGCCGACGTGGGTTCGTCGTATTGATCATCAGCGTCATCGTTTCAAGAACGACGCAAACTGTTCGTATTATTAATTTCGAAAACACACACACCGCATACAAAATAATAACATAAGGTCTCGTCGAATAATGTTCCCCGTTAGCAATTTACTTAATGAACATAATATTATATTGCGCTGGATTTCCACTTTGACAATAAACGACCGCGCGTAATCCCGAAGGAATACTCTGCGATTCGTCGAGTTAATCGCCACGTAAATTCACCAACAGCCAATTGAAAACTAAATCGTCTATAGCATTATATATTATCAATTCGTATTAAACGATTATCGGGCGACAGGACATTTACTCGGATATACATTTGTACGAAATAAGAAGCGTGAGAATACGTGAATTTTGATTATCGATTTTAATATTTTATAGTCATTTCATATTGGCGAAACACCGAGGCGACGAATAAAATACGATACCCGAACGACGATCGTAATTTTAAAAACGATCGTACAAATGCATTCAAATTAGATAAATATCAAAACGTGGTGTAGTCAAAAGCCATATATATATATAAAATTTTTAACAACGAGTTGGACCGAAATCGCATCAATTGTGATAACGTCACTACCAAGATCATACAAATTAGTAATCATGCATACTAAATATCTATGTAAACTATTTTTATGAAAATTCTAAACGAGTGTGGTAACGTTTACGAGATGTCGTAGTACGTCGAAAATCCAATGCGCCCCAAAAACAATGCCACATTTAAAATCAAACGTTATCACAATTTTTAAAATTTTGTTGACTTAATAAGATAATAATTGGATTTTCCATATTTTGTAGATAATTCATAATACTGAAATTCTACATATTGTACACTGTTAGTATTTTTATTTTTTTTTATTTTTCTCATAACACGGTAATAATTATAGTATTTAAATGTAAACGAAGCACGGTGTGTATCACATTTCGATAATGTCGAATAACGTGTCTCTTGTATCTATAACGATATAAAAAACAATGTATCTATTATCTATGATAATCTATGATATCTAGTATATCTATGTCCGTTGTATCTAGATAATTTTGTTTTGATATTTTGTCGGCCGTCTCTTTATTTTGCTCCGAACAATAATAATACAACCAACGGCGGCGGCGAACAGTAATATTATTATTATACACGTGTACAATGTATATTTTGTATATTATTCCTTTCGGCCAAAAGTGGTTTCGGAACAATAGCAAAAACACGAGAATAAAACGGAAGCTATACGCAACACTCTACGACTTCTGTTGCTGCTACTCGCACTATAACAATACGGGTTCGTAAATATATGTGTGTGTGTGTGTGTGTGTGTGTGTGTGTTTGTGTGTGTAATAGTGAACGCGAAATGTTATTTTTCCGGGGATAATGGATTTGAAAAAGCGCGACAATATAATAATAATAATAATAATAATACAGTCTCGGCTGTCGAAACAGTAAAAACGGATATAGCGCTTCGCCTCCCGCTGTTCTATATAATACGCCGTCCCGAGCCGTGTAATGTTCGGATTCTTCTATATACGTGCGTTCATACTTGCACACTTGCTCACTAACCATAGTCCACATATGCACCTACTCATATGATATTGGGACAGGATGTCCCGCGACGTCGAAGGACACACGGCGTTTTGTTCGAGCGAGAATTATTGTCGGCGCGTATATTTATGGGTATTTTGATGAGGCGGCACCGATTTTTTCATCGTGTAACGGCATTTCCGATGGGTCGGTGTCGGTAAGGCAGCGCTGGTCGGGGGAACTACGATCAACGTATGCGCTAAAATACTGCAACGGTTTCGAAAAAGTTACGTTTTACGTGAATTACGTTTTTGTTTTCCCGGGGATTTGTTTTTGTTTTTTTTTTTTTCCAGAGGGAGGGGCATTATCGAGAAAACACCGTATAATTTTCGAAAAAAAAATATCTACTAAACGGAGCGTCTAAAGATTCATAAACCAACTGTATAGCAGCTGTCTGTATGCTATTGCGATTAGAGTCCAATAAGATGTGCCTATGGATCAAGCAGCGGTTATATAACAAGAGGACATGATGTATTGAAATCGTATCGACATTGTTAACTCGTGATGTATGGGCATGAGAAAAATTATGTATTTTGTTTTGGCTTTGAATAACGCGACGATACGAAAACAAGTTTCTGATCATGTTGTTATCATAATATTATCTCAACCGCGTTATCGTGTACGATGTACATTTATCAAACATAATGTACGAATTGATAATCACAACACGGCTTGCGTCATTTGTATAATATAATGGATGCAAAGTTTCAGATAAACTCATACGGTCGGCTATCTATACAGTATGTGTTTCGAACAAAGTATCTACTATAGGTCCATAGACCTCTATTAATAAATCGACTGCGTTTAAGGGTGTTTACCCTTAAACGGAGAACCGATATTGAGCGAAAGAGATAATAATGCTAGTTGGAGGGGGTGGGGGCAGTCACGGAAGAAATAAATCGATAATTTCCATCGCCATTATTACGGAGTCGTCAATACTTTTCTATGTACCAGCTTGATATGCATATGGATATTTATAATCGATTTCGTGGCGTTATTGTTAATCTTTTCCACTAGATATCGTTCACAAAAGTATTGGTAAGTACTAAATATCCAAACCCGAAATTCTACGAGAACGTTTCGATAGATACGGTTTTCGATTGAAGCGAGCCAACGTGGCGAAAGAAAAAAAAACAAACATATGTCCCCGTTGCGCTTCACCCGGAATCCGTGAAAACACTCGGACCGCGAGATTTACAGTTTAAATATATATTAGAAACAATATCGGTTTATTATTATTATTATTATTATTATTTTTTTTTTTTTTCCCGGTACTTACCTAGGGTTTATGAAATAATAGAAAAATAAATAAAAAATAACAAAAACGAGGTGCGTTCGAACGTTTTCGTCTGGAGCACGCTGCGAGAGCTGTGGCGACAGGTGGCGAGTCCGATTGTTCTCGAGTTTCCGACGAAACGTTATAATTAATCTGGCGCTATACTTGTGCGCACGCACACGTGTACACGCGCTACACGCCGCACGGCCCGTGACGCGTTGGAATTAACGCGGCGAATCCGTACACATCCGTGCTGTTGTTTCAAAATTAAATTCCGCGCGATGTATTATTATTATTATTATTATTATATACACGCGTATGATTACGTGCGCCGCCGTTTTTCCGTGTCTGAAAACAAAAATTAAATCCCTCACTAACCCCCCCCCCCCGCCGGTGTACGCATTACGCGAGCGCTATAATTTTATTATCGTCGGCTAAAACGGCGCGGGGCGAGCGCGCGCGCGTTCGCGAGTAAAGTGCGGCCCCGGAATTCGACCCTCCGTAACGGGATCCCTCAAAGGCGAGTTTCGCGCTCGCGTAAGACCCGTTTAATTCAATAACGGCGCGCAGGTACTGCGCACGCGGTGTGCGCGAGATACGCCCGGTAGGCGAAATTGTCGCGGAATTCGTCAAACCGACCGAGAATTTATGTGTTTTACGTTTACCGCGCGCGTGTTTTTTTTTTTTTTTTTTTTTTTTCTGTTCGCCGACGCGATTCGAAAATAATATAACGGCGTGATTAACGTATTTTTCGCAAAAAAAAAAAAAAAAAAAAAAAAAAACGTATGCGAAAAACGGATCAATATTTACGGCGGCGACGCGCGACGTTAACGTTTCGTTGGTTAGTTTACATTTTCTACGGTTTTCGTTTTCTACCGGAAAAATTGTTCGGAATTTCAAGAGTGCCGTCTTTTCTAAAATAACATTTTTCAACGCATTAACGGTTAAAAAATTATTATAGAATAACTGTATACTACGGTTTAAAACTAGATTACCAGTAAAAGTGATAACAATACATTGTTAATTATTATCCGTTGATTTCATTTCTGTCAATCTATCCTTTTTATCCACAATGGAATTCATTATCGGACTTCTTTTTTGTATAGTAAATCGATGGGTTGTCCGATTTCGAACTACGCAATTTTATTCGCAAACTGTTTACAATATTAACACGTTGCACAATACATAATATGAAAATTGCATGATAATTAAATAATTTTGTGTTAAACATATTATAATCCTTATAGTTTTTAGTACCGGGTCTAAATATAATCCACTGTTTAAATTTTTAACGGGCAGATTTCGGATCTCTTGTGATTTAGTGAACTTAAGGCGACCGCCTTTAGCTTAGTTGACCACTAAATTTGTTGAGCATTTGGTAAATAATTTAAAAATGTAATTATTCAATTAGAGCTTTACGTGGTTTACTAAACGATTAGTAAACGTCTATGCAACCTTCTGTAAGTATATTATATTATTATGTAGGGCCGTAAGTAAGAATATTTATAAAACACGCATCTTTTATTTTTTATCCAAGCAAATTGTCTAGATAGGTAAATTTATTTGTCACGTATCCAGAAAGATGGGAAATGCATATCTCATTAGTAAAAATTTAAAATTGCAGATAGAATATTACATTTATATTAATATAATTTATTAATCGGAGACTTTTGCCAAGGTCCTCGGACTGTGGTTTGCATTAAGGAACATGGTGGTACGCAAAAGGCCGAGTGGTAGCAGGTCTAAAAATTAATTAATTCATATTTGTGCAAATGTTTTTAACAGTTCTATTACTATTTTAAATTTTAAATTTTTTAATGTTATTATTATAGTATTGTAGTATTTTACTGTCTTATGCTCTTATCATAGACATGTATAGACATGAATAGTTGAATGTTTAGTCATAGGTGGTGGTACGTGATGGATCCATAATACATATACGAGTGCTACGAGGGAAAAATATTTAGAGTACTTCCGATTTGGACAATAACTCATTTTATCGTGATCATCTTCTATTATCGTTGTTTATTGTCTAAATATTTTAAAATGTATCATTATAAAATATTCAATATGGAACCGTATTGTTTTTCGTTCAAAAGCGACATTATACGAGAATGTTTTTAAAACACGTAGGTACATTAGTATGTAGTTTTGGAATTCAAACGAATTATGTATATTTTATTACGTACACCTACCCAGTGAACATATAATGCTATGTAAATCGTATTAAAATCTCAACCGAACTTGACTCGCATTTAAATACGAGACTACATTAAAACAAAAAGTAACCTAACCAAATGAAATATGTAAAAAAATAAATATAATTTTGTCTATAAATAAAAAAAAAATAGCTACCCGGTAACGGTGGCGTGGTGAACTATTTTGATTAATTGGGCCAATTATTTGTTTTTATATGACACCCGTATTTTATTACAGGAGACCTTTGTTTTTTTTTTTTTTTTATTCTGGCTCATTTAATATACGCGTATTACACAAGAAAATATATATAATTTTTATGAACACATACAATTATAAAAAAAACAATTTTTTTTAAACAAATTACTTAATTTACTGCTTATATAGTTAAATTTAAAGAATATTATTGTATTGCCTATAGTAAATATACGATTTTTAACTGCAATGGAATAGAAAATTAAGCATTGTATAATATAATGCATATGCAAAATCCATAATGCAATAAACTATAAACTATAACCTATCACGTTACCAAGTACGAATTATTTTTCATGACAATTAATTTCTTTATTTTCTTGGATATTGGGCCTCGCTCATCCACCAACTTCCACCGTCCTAAAAAAACTATAAAAACCATTAAAAAAAAACCACTACTACCATACCACACTGATTGTATAAAAATCATCGATGTTATTTTTCCATCTTCGTCATTGTTGATAAACAGAAAAAAGAAAACTTAAATTCGTTTGGTTTTATGGAAAAAGGGTTTAAGTGAATTGCATTACAAACAAATGGCTAAGCAAATTAGAGAAATTATAGAAAATCGCACAAAAAAAAAAAAATTACAAAAAAATTGACTTAACCGCTTTTTCTTTGGCTCGTCAAGACCAAAGATATATTATTGTTATTATGAAAACGTGCGTACATTTCCTCGGGTTCTCGTTTCGCCGGACGTTTTCTGCAACCTGCGCCGCCGCGCCGTTTCTCCGCGCCGTCATAGTTGTGTACTTATACATACGGGAAAATATCGGTTTTTCTGTATTACTTTAAATAATAATATATATTTCATTTGTTTCCTCTTTCCCCGTCTCTTTATCTGCATGCGCACTTCAATAGAGAAATAGAATAAGAAAGCGTATATACACAACGTGTAAACGAAATACTTTTGAAAACTACGCATTCGCTATATATCGCGCGGTAAATCCGGAGTCTATATATAGTGTCCGACGGCGAACGTCTCGGCGGGGGACTCGGATTAGGCTTGTTGTACGATTTTTATATTTTTTTCTTCCCCCCCCCGATGGATACCCAGGGATAATACCCCGGACATGTCCCGGAAATGTTTATGGGTTCTTATTATTTTACCCGAGGGGTGTAGTACGCCAAAATCGCATATAACTCTGCAGCGCGCCCGAAAACTACTGTTTAAACCGACCATCCCGTGGAAAGCCGTCTACATACATATATATAATATTATTACATAGTAATAGTTGTAGTGGTAGTAGTAGTAGTAGTAGCAGGAGTAGTAGTAGTATACGTAGTGATAGCTTTGGGCTTTGGGAGTCGATACTTTTCCCATAATATTATATCGCGGGCTATATAATATGATATAACAAGATAATTTAATTTTGCCGGTTCGGAACGAATTCCGAATTTCGTTTGTGTCGTCGTCGACGTTTTAAAAAAACTACATTTCTGGTCCCAGGATTTAAGTCGAATTTCGGTAAATTTCAGTTATAATTCTGTCGAATATAAAATATAAATTCTGAACGTAACGGGGAATGTATTGGTTTTACAATAATGGTTTTTCTGGTTTTTTTTTTCATTATTATTATTCTGTGAGCAACTTTTCTACCAGATACCTTACTCTGATACATCGAGAGTAGTATCTTTTATAAAAGGAAAGTTTATTTGGTTGGCACTTTAACCAAGGTCATTTTTTGATTTTCCAAGCGGTATTCCTATTAACTGGAAAAACCGGGAGAAACGTAGGAAAAACGGAAAAATGTGCGCGCATGTACGACAAAAAATTCGTTCCGAATCGTTTCTCGTTTAGCAATGGTTTATCGATGCGTACAGATATAAATTGAATTCCCCTTTATATCCTACCTTCTCACCTATAACAGTAGCCCACCCCCATCGTGCGAAGTCTGTTTTTTATCTTTGCGTTTTCCGATGTGTACCTAAATATATAGCGCGCGCGCGGTTTTAGGTTCGTGAGCAATATCACGTTTGAAGATTTGATTAATTATTATAATATACGAGTTAAATAACTCGACATTTAAGCGAAGTTACATCGGATTCGTTTCGGTAGAAGTTTACATTACAACTTACGTTTAATAATAATAATAATAGTATGTTCCAAACTCGGTAGGTAAATAATAATCATTATATTATTATTATTATTATTATTATTATTATTATTATCGTTTTGAGTAATAATCCCGTGAAAACTTTCGAAAACCGATTACCGAAAGCCCGTGTAGCACTCGCATTATTATGCGAACACGACAACTAACGAATTAACTAATTATTTGTTTTATAAAATAGAGAGGCAGACGGGTCGGCAGCGGTATATAATATTATGTTATTATAAACACGTTATTTTGTGTTTGCATTAATAATTTACACGTTTACCCGCGTGTATACAGAATTGTTATGCTATACAATTATGAATTATAATAATACATTACGGTGCAGGAAGGTATAATAAATATTGGTTTAATTGTTCGGTTATACATTTTTTTTTTTTTTTTTCAATAAACAACAAAACCGACCAAATGTTTTTACTGCATAGTGCATATTGCATGCCACCTATTCCAAATGAAAATGGACGTTATATTTTCGTTAATTTTAAACCGAAGCCTGATCACGTGTTTGCGCAATCTAAATCCCAGTAGGCCACATTGCTGTGCAAATACATAATCCATCGTGATTTTTCACCGACTAGACCACTAGGTTTTAGGTTTAAACTTTAGAAACCTACTTCATTTGAACAGTTTAAACACCACCAGGTTTGTACCGACAAGTAGGACGAGTATGTTTTTTAAAACTCCTCAAACCAACTCAGTTACGTTTCGGCATGGGTCGAACTCGGATAAAAACGCGACTTAAATCCATTTTTATAAAATATTATCACATTATGTGATTTTTCTCGGTTACACTCTTGCAACGGAGTTAACATAACTTATTCGATCAAAACATAATTAATACTCGAGATGATATTCGTAATCTACGACTTACTCGTATTTTCATATCGGTTTTTTTTTTTTTGTCCATTAAACATTATACAGATTTTTTTACAATCCGAACAACGATAGGATATGATTCAGACAAGTCTTATTGTACCGCCACCGGTTGAAGATAATCAATACAATAAAATAATATTCTCTACATCATCAAAATATTTTATATTCAAATATGTGATTGAAAATGGGCGTTCCTATTATAAAATTAAACTTTATTACTAATAAGGTATGTTAAAACGTGTGGATGAGAAAAAAATTGAAAATTGAACGTTAAAATAAAACCTAAAAACCGAGATTATGGAAAATAAAAATAAAAAAAAAAAAAAAACTCAAAGTCAATTAAAATCCTCTGAGAAAACCGTTTATTTATATTTATGATAAATCTCACCTTGTAGTAATATCAATAGTACCATGAGTTAGTACGAAAAAAATAAAATAAAAACCTAAAACCTTATGGAATACTATTTACCGACAAGTAGCAGACGCTTTTTATAATCCGTAACTTAAAAAAAAATAAATAATAATATAAAATCGCACCTGTATGATACAGTCTGGTAACTTCGACAACGGTTTGAAATTTGTACAACGAATGACGAATGTCCTCGTCGGGAATATCTTCGGGGATTTCGTACACTAGAACTGAAAACGTCTTCTGCGGTCTACACGGTATGGGAACCTGAGGAAAAAATATAAATATTAGTTAGATGAAATTAAACAGACATTTTTGTAGATTTAAATTAGAATAAAATATACTCTTAATATATATTAACTTAGATCCCATAATAGCATTGTTGAAAAATATCTGCGAATCTTAGATACACATTAAAAACATGTACTATAATACTTTATACAGCTCCAAAAACGGTTACAATTCCAATATTTTTTGTGGGACGTTTAAACAATAAAGTAAATAGGTTGTCTGGTAGTAGGGGTTGTCAAACGAGTTATTCAATTCAATTCCAGCAGGGATCCAGTTTTAGGATTGCGACTGATTTACTTAAAACTAGATTTTTTTTTTTTAAACTTGTGCGTTTCTACAATACAATCATTCAGTTTTGTTTTTCAAATTTAAATAAAATTATTTTCGTCAATAAAAATCCAAAGAGAGTTTTACGGATAATTGTGACAATTGTAAATATTTTCTATAAATAATATACAATGACTTACAGGGAAAAAACCAAAAATGTATCCCATAAAAAATATACACGGTTAAAAAAAAATATATATATATATGTATGCAACTATCATATAATGGTAACAAAAGTTTTGCAACATATAAATTAACAGTGTATCTTATTTATTTTTTCCTTCTAAGTTCCTTCTAAAAAAAAAAAAATACATAGTTTAGTAATACTCTGTTCAAACATGACTGTTCAAATAATTGTTCAGAAGCTTTTCGAAAATATTTATGAGATGTACATCGCAAGCACGTTATAGCTTTTATACTTTTCAACTACCTACTGCACGAAAACTCAAAAGTACCTACGTTTTGATTAAAAATTCGTTTAAAACATTTTTCGTTAATGGAAAATATGAATTGATTTAAATGTTGCATTTTAAATAAAATCCGTAAAAAAATAAAATCATTCAAAAACATGTCCCTCCCTCGGTCGAAAGTTATGTTAAGGTAATAATCATTGTTCGACTTCGTAGTTTATTTGTACCTGTGTATATATTATTATAATAAACTCGTTGCGGTGAAAAAGATTACGAAATTAAAAAAAAAAAAGTCTGCAGATAATAATAGTGTGTTGGTCGCGAAAAGGGTTATAGGGGTGTGGCGGAGGTGAAGATGGTCGTGTATTGCGTGCAACGGTGGCGGCGCTCGTTGGCGGCGGTTTTAAATGGAAATAGCCTCGTGTTGGTTTAGGTGTTTGGGTACAAAAAAATTGTAAAAAAAAAAAAAAAAAAAAAAAAACCATCACGAAGAAAACAAACAGAATAACGTTTATATATATATGTATATACACAGAAGAGAGACGCGAAGCGGAGGAGAAGGTCGGTCGGGAAGCGGTTGCCACCGCTCGAGAGCCGAGGAGGATATCGTATGCGCCATATACTATTAATCATTTTACCCGCAGAATAATCCCGCGACATATTTATATATTTTCATGACCGCCGTGTCGCGTATTTAGCCGTAGCAATTTGTCATTTTCAAACGTTCCGTTTTTACGTTGCTGCGTACCCCGCTCCCACCCCACTCATTTCGCAGAGGAGTAAAATAAAAATAAAAAAAAAATTAAAAAAAAAAAAAAAAAAACCCCGTCTACCGACGTCCCACTTATTTTCGCCGCCGCCGCCGCAGCCGAGCACAACAACGAGAGAGAGCTTTATTTAATAATTTATCGAATACCGTGACGTTAATGAAACCGCACCGGGTTCCCATCATAACACCTATATATACATATACACATATAGTATACTACCCTCCTAACAGAGACGAAGAACAGTAAACGCTAAATCGATTATTCTTATATTAAACGACGAATTCCGTGCCTTTTTTCTTTTTCTTTTTTTTTTTTAATCCAGGTGAATAACCGTAATAACCACTAGAAATGCCTCGAAAATCGATTCGAAAATATTTCGTAACGGCCGAAAAATCGTTCGATTCTGCCGCAATATTTGTATTAAAAAAATTAACTGAAATAATTGATCGAGTACTAAATGAAAATTTCTGTTATGTTATGTTATATGAATACATATCATATATTTTTTTAAATATATCATATTATATAAATACAAATGATCAGTGTAGTTTTTTTTTATCTAGATATACATCGGTATAATTTTAGTTTTATATTATCTAGAGGAAAGAGATAATAATTGCATCTAGATAACAAGTTCGTGATTATTTATCTTAACTTAGATATTTTAAAATGTATTTTTAAACAGTTGTATTGCTCAGTGGTGGTTAAATAATAATGTTTTGAGGGGCAAAACGGATAATTTTTAAAAACCATTATAGTTACCATAATATATAATTATTATATTATTAAAAAAATTTAGGAAAAATAAGTTAATGCGAGGGGGGATATAGCACCATTCAATCCTCCTATTAGACCACCAGTGGCACTGCTAATAATAAATTTAAAAAAAAGGACGGACATACTTCGCACGTGAGTGCAGCCACTGTGTTAGGTGGGAAGTTGGGAAGGTAGGTTACAGATAGGAATTTAATGTATATCTGTAAGCAACGATAGACCGTTGCTAACGAAAAAAACAATTCTGAGCGAAACTCAGTTGACAGTGTTTCTTTGTCAACAATATATATGTCATACTATTGTAAAATGATTAAAACAATGTGCGTTTCCATGATTACAATGATTGTTTAAAATAATAAAAGCTTAATAACAACAAAAAGTAAATATAAACAATTGCCATTAACAACCTTATTTTTAATCTTTTAGTCTTTTTAACCTAAAGAACAAGGTTTTCTTCATTATCTCGAATATTAATAAGAATTTCAAAAATTGACCTCACTAAAGTACCACCCTGAGAATATTTCCTTTTAGACAAATTGCTATAGTTGATAATCGGAGTAAGCTTTCTGGTAGAAAAAGTGTTTACATAAAAAAAAAAAAAATAATAAATATCTTTGTAAAACTAATACATTCTTCACTACACTAAAATAAAATAACGATTATAATGTGAAAAACATCAAAACATAAACTCGTTTTCTTGACAATTGAATTTTTGGAGTAATTAAACGTCAATGTTGGAGAAAAATGTTTAAGACACATAAGGTGTATTTGCAATATCATGGCAAAATAATTAGCTTACATCGCAATGCATCATATTTTCTTTAAGTATGTGCACACTTCCTCTCCACATTCGATTTATAATGTAGTAGTTCTCTTACACTGCTATTATCAAGGGTTATGATGAAATTTCTACAGATAATAATTGGAGAAATATAAGCAAGATAATAAAGGTGAAGTGAAAAAAAAATCGAGGAGGTGTGCGAAAAAAAAACTGTGATTATATAAGATATAGGTATATACATATATCTTGTTTTGGCACAAGACTTTACTGTCGTATAGAGTTTCTCAAATGTATTTTCGAACAATATAAAGAATTCGTGAGCAACGGTCGTAGTCGTAAAGTTTTATATAGGTACCTACTCCCAGTTGTCCCGTCGAATCGCGTATTCGAACGGAATTCGATTTGAAAAGACAATTTGCGCGAAAAAATAAATATTGAACGGCATATCGTTTAGTTTAGAATAGGTATAATATATTCACGTTTCGTTTAAATTATTACTACATCATTATTTTGAAATACGGCATAAAAATCGATTGCGATATGTTATACCTTGTAGTATTATCGAGAGAGAACGAGACGTTAAAACTGCGAACCGCAAAAAAGAATTATTATAATATAAATCTTGAGCGAAGTGGGTGAGCGAATTTATTGGTTTTATTATATGACGAGTTATTTTATACTTTCATTGTTTATATCCGTTATATATCCAGCCTGTGAGATTCGGACAATAACTTGATCCAATCAACTAAAATTTATAACTTCCGACAGGAAAATTTTTAGGAAGTTATATGGGCTCACACTCAAATTGAAGTCAGGAAAGTATAAAAAAATTTTCGGGGAACTAATTTTCAACCAGAAATCTTGCTCCAATCGTTAACATCAAGGGTAGTCAAATAATGGTAGCAAATTTTTTTTAGTATGGATTATAGAAGAGTTTCTTGTAGTTTTCTTAATAAACGTGGAAAATCGAGGGGCATGTTATAGGCATTTTTTTTCGGTTTATAAATAACAGTTATATTAAAATTTATTTTCATCGGCTTTTTAAGTTAAAATTTTCAATTTTAATATTATGTTTCTATATTAAAATAATTCAAAATTGAAAATGACTGTAATAGAGGAACATTAGCCTAAAACATATTTTTGTTGAAACAAATGGTTTATTTTCATATTCGAGTTTTAATTGGTAAGGTTAAATTTATTTCTAGTATACTCGTAGAAATCAAAACATAAAATAATACCATTTCGTCAAATCTCATAGGTGGCTGGATTGCATGTCAACAGTAATATAATACGAAATATAAAACAAACAAAAAATAATTAAAATATTAAATGGTACTTTTTTCATTTGTGTAACCAACGGAAAACACAGAGATCAACAATAATTGAAATAATAATATTTCCGTACATGATAAACACGTAATTCAAGTGTGTTCCCGTGTAACCTCGGAATCAACGAGTCCTCTCCCAAAACGAAATCCAGACTCGACGGGTTTCTCACATCCGAAAACCCTTAAATATACAGCCGTAAATAATTACAGCCTTAAATATATAGAAAAATTATTCAACTTCCAAGAATATCCCATATTATCCTGGTTTTGAGATAAAAAAACAAAAAAAAACCAGGTACACAATACGTACACACAGCACTAACATTATTATGTTCGTATAATATTTAAAAACCATTTTTCAATTTTTCGCAATAAATATATTTCGGTGTAGACAGATGTGAACCGATTCTCGTATGGTGACTCGTTTAAAATTGTAATCACATTATGCTCCAATGGTTCTAGAGAAGAAGGGTCGAAGTCGATAAAACCGTGTGCGGCGTTCGATAAACGAAAACTAAATTAAAATGTTTGAAATACACTCGCTTTTACACGAATACACTGTAATTTTATTATAGCACGCTAAGCTCGTTTGATACCATTTAAAAACGAGTCCGCGTATAATTGTTAATAAATTGTTGTCATAAATTATTTTCGCGACAATATTAATATATTGTTACGCTAAACGGCATTTCGTATTATATCATAAATTATGTGCTAGATGCCTTTCGCACGTTTTCCTGCGCCGCGCTCAAACGCCTAGAATCACGAATAGGCGCGTTTTGTGTTTTATTACACGTTGCGGTTTTGTCACTATTCGGGCACCGTTTCGCGTTTTTCGCATCACAGCAAACGCGCATTGCGAATTTTCGACCGACTCCCAGCCCGAAAACGTATCCATGTTGAAATAAAGGGAACGGACGCCGGCATAAGAAAAATTAATCCGGAAATTGACTCGAGCCCCACTTCCCGGGGACCAACGAATTTTATGAAATCCACATGATAATTTCTATTCGGATGCATATTGCATATACAGTGAACTCAAATACAATATGGTTATACGACGCATAATACTAAAATACAATACAGGAAATATAAAAAACTTATTGCAAACATTTCTATCTGTATATAAAGTGTCATATATGTGTGTATACATGTATATGTATTTTTTTTTTTTGAGAAAATCAATATAATGTAACCACGAACAAAGTTTATTGAAAATAGTAAGCCAAAAAAAAAAAAAAAAAAAAAGTTATATTAAAGCCTACGGAGTATACCTATACACACTTACAAAAATGGGTAAAAAAACCCGAAAAGAAAACATATTGACTGTTTAGATAATATATCTTAGAAAAGTTTTGTTATTTTATTTTATATTTTTTTTTGTTTTTTATTAATATCAATTTGTTACGTTTAAGACTGCGTGAATGACGACCGGGGAGAAAAAAGAAAAATAGCTTTCGATATATTTTGTACTCCTCGAATTTTTCAGGGAGTATAAAACATTCCGTTTTCGTTTCAAAGTATCAAACAATACTACATACAAGAAAAAAAAAAAACAAACAAAAAGAAATATACGTTTAACAATAACACGGTGAACAAAAAAAAAAAAAAAAGAAGAAGAAGAAAAGTAATACCCATATTTTTTTTCGTTCAAAATGAAAGACACTGGAATTCCGGCGGTGAAAATGAAAATTATAATTTTCCGGAGTGATTTTCGCGGAAGGGGGAGGAGGGAAATGGGAAAATCGCAGCGCGAGTGTTTAACGGGTTGCAAAGAGCGTTTACTTTAGTTTGGCCGTTCCGGGAAAATGCATTACAAATACGTGGTTCAATTCGTGTATAACTGAGTATTATTTACTTCAAAAGTGAAACGTCATTTTATTCGCTGTCGTATTTTATACGTTATAATAATATATTACAACGCACTATCAATGTGATTATTTTTCCATAACTCGTTATGGAAAAAAACGGTGTTCTTCATCACCGTGTTCATTACCATTGGCATGCGTAATCTTCGCCGAAAGTATTCTCGTATCAAAAAATATTAAACGACATTAAAAAAAAAAAAAAAAAAGTGTATGTTCTTCGTTAGATTATCATTATTATAATATGCATTTTATTATTGCACTTGACGATCGATTTCACGGGTAAAAAAAAAAAAAATGACAAAAACGTGAAAACAAAAATATGCACTATAAATACGTATAATATATTAAAATATTGTTATGATTTGCATAACAATGTAATAACAATGCGTGTTAACTNCGTGCGGCCTCCTCGCCCGCCCCCCGCCCCCCACCTACCCACCACAAGCGAATGATGGGGAATTTTCGAGAAAAAAAAAAATCGTACGCGCGCGTATACCACGCGACGATCGGCGAGGGGGATGGACCACCACCCCCCCCTCCCCCGGGCCGCTGCCGTACCGGAGAGTCAGTGGCGACGTCCGGGTTAATGTTAATTAGCGCGACCGGCGGCGGCGGCGTAGGCGGCGCGGCGGCGGCGACGACGGCAAACGTGGCGAAATATCAATACGATATGACCCAGAATGGCGCGTACTCGTCAGACGGCGGTGGCGGTAGCGGCGGCGGCGGCTGCGGAGGCGGAGGCATACACACTGTCGGGCGGGTAGGACCCGAAGGTGTGTGTGTGTGTGTGTGTGTGTGTGTGTGTGCGCGTGTTTCTGCGTGTGTGCGCGTCCGTGTGCGCGCGCGTTTATGCGTGTGTGTGTGGGCGGCAGCGGTGGCGGCGGTAGCAATTTCTCAACCGATAAAATCAATGTTTCCGAACGCGGGCCACCGGTGTCATTTTGCATATAAACGCGTATACGATAATATTGTATACATTTATAATATTATTTATATATATGTGTGTATATACATATATATATATATATATACATATGTATGTTATAACTATATACGCGTGCGGTGTATAAACGCGAGTTTCCAAATTGTTGTTGGCGGCTGGGGGTGAAGGGGGGGGGGCGACGGCGTGTTCGGCGAAACCCCAGGGAGTTCCTCTCGCGGTATACCGAAAAAGCTTTTAAAAAAAAAAAATACCGAAAACCGATCCACGGCGTTTTCACATACCGGAAGTTTCGGGTGGTTCAACCGAGTTTTTTTTTTTCTCCCTCTAGACACAAACACTTTGTTCGTTTTCGCGGATGGAACGCGATTTTACGATATAATATTGTGTGCCTGACGGTTATACAGGGGTACAGCTCTACATACGCGGTCATTCGAAACTGCACATCACAGACACGCGTCTAGAATTTTTCACAAATTCATCTGACCGGAAGGAGGGGGGGGGAGAGTGGAAGGAGATTTCGAGTCGAGCCGCATCCAGGAGATCGGCGGCGCCCCGCTTCACTTAAAATGATTCGTCTAGAGATCATGATATAAAATTCCCATACATTTATCTCGAACTCTATATCCATTTATGTAAATGAAAATTTCCTAACGTATATTTTTTGCGCGACAAGTGTGTTTAGTCAAAATGATAAAAATATACTCAGGAGAATAAGAGTTAACCGTAATATTTCTGAAAATAAATATCAAAAAACAGATATACATCGCACGATTGGTGAGCCACTGTTGTAGGTGAGAAGTCGAGAAGGAAGATGGAAAAGAGACATTTAATATATATATATATATATATATATATATATATATTTATATCTGTTCGCAACGACTGATAACCAAAAGCGATTCTAAGCGGAGTTCGGTTATACATATTTTGAAAGGCTGTAATATTTACGATTTGGAAATATTAAACAGGGAAAATTTTCCATTTTTCTCATTTATCATTATAATCCACAAAAAAAAAAAAAAAAAAAAAAAAAAAAAAATCAAAAAATTAGCTTCATAAAGTAACACTCCGTTAAAATTTACGCTCGGAAAAGGGTCAACCTTCGAAAATTGGAGAAAAATTTCTGGTAGAAAAGTTGATATGAAAAAAAAAAAAAAACATTATTTTAAAACCAATACGTTCTTTTTTTCGTTTAAAATCTAAAATGTTTTAGAATTTTCGATCACAACCATCATTACAGCTCAACAAATACGAGAAAGTTAATCAAAATTTCTATGATGTACTGTGCAATCATACACATAAATCCGAAAAAAAGGTTTTTTTATTACTCGTCCATGTAATTATTTTGAGGAAAGGTGAATATAGAAAAATGAATGCCGAAGGTGCCAACGCAAATATCGCATTGAAATATAGAAATTCATGAAGGAGGAGACTTTTTTAGAAGAAAAACGAGATGGATGTATAATAATACAATATTGTTCTTAACACAATTTATATTTTTGTTTTTCATTTGTTGCCATTATAGATTTACGGGTAATTTATTATAACGTCTGATTGTCTACTACAAAAAATGCATATAAAACACATTTCGTTTCAAATCCATTCGATTATTTAGTAATTATTTATTTTATACTTATTTATGCATATTAATATATATATATGTATTTAAATTCACCGCGGAGAAATCGATTTCGCAAAGTTATATATAGTCATTGCCAAGGTGACTTGCCGATCCGTAAACACGCCCTGCAGAGTGATAATAATATTATTACCGTCCGAAAACAAACCAATATACGTGTATACGGATTCGTCGACGCCCCCCCCGTCAGATTGACCATGGTACTCGATCAGTTGTTTTTGAATTTCAGAACGTTTTTACTAAAACTATCGTGATATAATTTACGATTGGGCGATTGAATTCACTATAAAACAATTACCAGAAAGCATTGAAATTCGAATGAAAAGAAATTTCAATTTCAAAAAAATAATAATATCCGAATTCTTCCAACCCCCAACCCGTACTTTATATTTTAGAAAAAATTATGGTGAAAAGATACATAATCAAATACCCGTGAAATTTTGTGCTTATGCTATACTAAAGCAACTATATATAGTAACACTACTTCCAGACAAGTGGCGAAATTCGGAATTAAAATTGTGGTGGTTGTAATGTTAAAACGACCACAAGGAAGGTCCTTGGCACTAATGCCATACATATGCTGTTCACGGTGCTCTACCAAAACACCCTGAAAAAATGTTCAGAGAAAAAATATCCCAAGGTAAAATTGTCGTGGAAAGAATGTCCAAAAATTGTTTTTCCGGAAATTTTTCCGCTACGGGTGTTTCATTTTTAATTGCAATGGATTTTTCGGGAATTTAATGCATTAAAGGTATTGTGGCGCGTAAAATTATCAGTCCTCATTATTATTATTAACTGCTATATTGACTCAGTGCTTAGATTTTTGATTAATCCGACAAAACACATTTTACGGCCTGCAGCATAACAATACTATCCTCCGGGGCTGCAGTAGCTAATAGGTATTATTTACGTAATAAAAGTTCGACATGCAATTTCGCTGATTCCGTACACTGTGTATACAATGTGCGATCAATACGATCGTTACTCCAAAATGAAATAATAATAGAGTTCGTGGAAATTTTTGTACAATGATAGGTGTGTATTATATTGATCACTGCGGTACTTCTGTAATTAATTAAAATACTTCAATTAAAAAAAAAAAAAACCAATTTGTCCATTTTTATATTTTTAATTTCACATTATCGTCCGGTGATGCCACGCCTGTGCAGAATTATGGTTCCGATTGTATAATACAGCGATACGTTTGGTAGAAAAAAAAAAAGGGCAATTAGGCAGCGTGTAGGGTATACAAAGTTAGCACGCTCCCTCACTACATTTGTGTGGTTAAATTATGCATACGTTCATATTGAGATTTATGGAATATTCTGTTTTTTTATTTTTTAAATTTCATTTTCAGGCAATTTTCTGCTTTGAATAGTGTAACTATCGAAAAATCGAAAGTTACAATACATCACATTTTTCAAAAAAAAAAATCATTTGATTGATAACTCGCATTAATACACGTAGGTTCTCGTTTGAAAAATCAAAGTTGGCATCGCCACAGGATCCTCCATAAATGCGACAAACCTAAGTATAAGAAACTATCGCCTTTAACTACTCTTCGAAAACCGGAATTTGAATGCATGCATTATGCATTATTTATCCCTACGGTAAACATGACTCATGGGACGATCATGCTTAAAAATTGCCCTATACCCGGTTCGCTATTCGGTAAACAAAGTATCCATGTTATAGGCATGATTTAAAAATGTTCGTTTAAATTTCACAGCATTAAAAAAAAATTTTTTGTAAAAATTGCAATTAGAATTGTTAATTCAAAGCCAAAAAGTACAACACAATAATATATAATAATAAAAGCAAATACTAATTTCGTCCACCCATTTTCAAATTTTCGTATCATATTATTTTATTGTATTTCTTTTCACATTTTAAATGTGTTCAGAAAGTTTTTTTTATTTTTTTATTTATGTAACCCGAATATAGATTAGGCCAAAGCTAGGAGTTACGTTTATTATTATAATTTTTCGTTATTATTTTTAGCTTTAAATTGATGATTCTATAATTTCTCGATATCTTAATCGAGTATACATTTTACCATTGTTATATTGTGATATTGTATTTTCGCGATAATACAAGCGATTGCAATTGTGCACTAAATTCAATCAAATTAGCATTATATTTTTAAAAACTCCAGTACAATTTACTCGACATGAATATTGCAGGGTTTTGTTATCGAATTCGACTTTCGTGCCGTAGTCGCCCAGCGGAGACGAACATGTCCGAGAATAAACGAGTATGGAGACAATCGAACGTTTAATAATTGATGACACAGGCAATTAAAAATAAACGATTCTACGACAAAATGCGGATTTAAAATACGGAACTATTCACGAAATAAATTGCTAGCATTCGTCATGTTTCACAGCCATTAGATTCAAATAATAATAATAATAATAATCATATTTAGGTATAAGCTTAATAGAAAATTGCGTCGAAACACGAATATACATAAAACAATGGCGATTGTTTACGAACGTTTTCGGTCAACTGATAAGCAAATAATATTATAATATTCCATTGTTCGCCCGAAATACTATCGGTAACGGCGTCAACAGACGTACGTTTTGTAATATTTGTTTAAATTTTATCAGTCGTACGCGAAGTGTTTGATTATAATTAAGAGCGCACAGTCAAACCAATACGCGCGCACAGTGTAAACTACTTAAATATTTTTGGCGCCAAAGAACACCGACGTCGTACGATTAAATGCAATTGTAATGACGTGCTGAATTCACAACATGATATACATAATACATACATGGCAACTTTATCAAGCGGACTGCAGCCACGTGAGTTGGCTAAGGGCACAATATAAGTATACATCGACGGTTCTCAACCATTTCTTCTTTCACGTACCCTTTGATCTTACACCACTACTTCGCGTATCCCTGTACTAGTGTCAATTCATTATAATTTTCACACGAAACAGTCAATAGTTGAATGAAAAAAGTGTAATGTTGGAAAAATTGAAAATATTTATTTATTTTAATCATTATACGCCGTGCAATGCAAATGAAAAATAAAAACAGCAACGGTTTAATTATAATACAATTTTTGAATATGTTTGATGACACTTAAGTTTTTGAAATCAGAATCCTAATCCATTGGCGTATATACGGGAGGGTTTCGGTGGTTCAACCACTCTCCCCCTGAAATTTATGGTTGGTACGGCACACGTGCGTATTTATGAATTAATTTAATTTATGTATTAACTAAAACCCAAAAGCTTTTTTTATGATCCGCCTCAAATTAATTTCTATATATGCTATTGTCCATATCCGGGATGATAAGTGTATCCGTGAGTTTGAACTTACAGAGAGTCTTTTACGATACTTATTTTTAATGAACATGTATAACAAACGAAAAAGTCATCTCCACCAATATAGAGCTCATGAAAGGTGATATTACATTGATTGTTTTTTATGAAAGCCTCAGGATATAATTTTTTCACGTCAGCCCAGAAAGTCATGAGGGATTCCTTATCAAGTGCTGCTTCGAGTAAAGAATCCGTATTAAGTTCAATCGATTTCTCTTTCCCTAGGACTGATAAGCTCAAGATTGAAAATGGTTTTCATCGAAAGGGAACGCAATCAATTGGTCTTTTTTTCCGCGTATAAAGAAGCTTTTTTCAAAAGCTGTCTTGTGTCCATTCAAATTTTGAATATTTAATTCATGAAAATATTTTTTCTGATAAGTTTAAATCAATTTTAGAGGTAAAATCGTGCAGTGTTTCAAAAACTTCTGTTACTTCGTTCTCTCAATACACGATTTCCAAAATTTTATTTTTTTAAAGAAAATTCTTATTTTGTCAGTTGGGATATTGTCACTGTACTTATATAACAATTATATATGTACATATATTATTCATACGATACAGAATCAATATTATTGTACGCATAAGTAGTGATGAATTGACATTAATAAAACATTCACGCGGTAGAACGTAGTAAAAAGTAAAATTATGGTCGATAAAATCTCGGTTACATCTGATTTACTGTGTTTGGAAGAAATAAATTCATGGATGCTACTGCATTTATTTTTTAAGGAAAAATAGATGTGAATTCATTACTTCAATGTCGGAACGTAAATGTAAATGATAGAAAAGTAAATATAATTTAATGTATAAAATATTTTGTTTATCTAATATTTTGTATACTATTACCTGAACGCTAAACGACAGTATTTCAAAAAAAAAAAAATTAATGAATATGACATATTTTTTATAATTTCCAGCAAAATAATTTTTTAAATTTAATATATTTTATCGAACAAATTTTTGTTTTTTTTTTCATTGGATACAATTTTAACATATTTCAAATTTAATTGAATGTGAATGTAGAGTGCGTCTTCTCGTGCCACATGTTAGAACTATCGGATTCTCTATAATTTAAAAAAAATATTTTATTACCGCTTTCATCTTCAGGATCCCTTTGTTTTTCTTCTTTCGCCAGCATCCAAGTTCGTTTATTTATTATACTCGGCCACAGATAATTCACAGTGTTTTTGATCAAGTATGATATCGTTCGATATGTTTGCTTGCTGATGGCCTAAATTCAATCAGCACCAATAAAGAAGGTATAATCCAAAATACTTGGACTCTCATCTACGAAGTAAAATCCATAAGGTTGACTGTATATAAAAATTAAACGAAGGTTTTGTCAAATAATAATAACGCCGATAGTGTAGTGGTTCAAGGACATACATTTGAAAAAGTTTTTCAATTTCGATATCTCTGTGGTTTTACCGACTGACATAAACGCAACTAGGGTTACAATTCTCGGGGCAACAATCCTCATACCGAAACTTTTAACTTAAAATAACCAGTTGAAGCTCACCCCTACTCTTATATATACATAAATCGCACGACATTTTTGATTTTGAACGAAACGAAGACCATATTCGATTTACAACCATGTGTTTATTGTTGTATGCACGTGACAAATTATTGTAAGCCAAGTTCGCTAATGATAAATATAATCTACTCTACTCAAAATTATATACATTTACCACTATTATCTGATCAGTCTTTTAATTACTTATACAAATTAAAAATATTCATATAGTCAACTTTATAGTTAAATTAACGGTATTTCGCATTAGATCTTGCAAATGTGTTTAAAATGCCTTATCGTTGACTGGTCCATTATATTAGTACACCACGTAAAATTTTAGTTTTAAAAACAACTGGTTCTGACCAGTTTTGAAAATCAAAAACCACGCCCACTTTGTCGAAGAGTAACATTAACGTATTAATTTGGGTTTATTTTACAAAAATCTACTGCAGGGTACTTATTGTTTTGCAAATCGTACACGCCAATAGTAATTGTGCCATCAAATCACGGATTTCGGCTATTGTGAATAATCCAACCGTTTTATATTTATACTTTGAATTTAAAAATTGGTTCAGGTTCGATAAAATATTATTTGAATGGTTATAAGGAATAAAAACCAGGGTTTGTTACATGGTATATAATATCGCTATACAAAAACGTAGTTTATTATTTGTGTTTATAAGGCATATCGAATTTGTGATTTTCTTTTTTTTTTTTTTTTTTTCAAAATGAACGAAACCATTCGATTATGGAACTGAAAAGGTTTCCACCAGTGAATAATATTAGAATATATTATAACACAATACGAGCGCGAAATCGCATAATAAAAACGCATTCAATATTATTATACAATAATGGCACGCAACGCCCAGTGACACGCGGTGTACATGAAATATTGTGCAAGAGCAATAATTAAAAAAAAAAAAAAAAAAATAAAAATGTTCACCGTGTTATACCATTCGTGATAATAATATTATTATTATTATTATTTATTAATTATTTATACGAATTCGTTACCTAATATTCGTTGTTTTACGTAAAATATTGATCATGCCGTGTACCCATTATACGATTAAAATAACGCGGTCGGAAATTCCAGAAAAGCGAGTCAACATTATACGAGTAAACAATACTAATCGAAAGCCAGAAATGCATGTATTTCGAACTGCGGGTAGGTCCATAAGTCGGTTGTTATAGGTGATAATTTGGAAATGCATTAGTTTTTCATTCTCCTTCTACGGGTAAACAGACGCCAGGACCGTCCCGTCAATGGCTCTCGATCAAATTCTCCGACCATCGTTATCTTAAATGGGTTGAAAATGATTACGTTGCGCTGAAAACCCATTATTGACCCGGCAACCACTCGTATAGGTAATGGTGAATTCAATTTGAGTTCTGTAAATTGCCGATTCGTTTGATTATTTCCTCAGATTTAATATCCGAGTTACTCAAAAAAAAATGCATTCATTTGTGTTTATCATAGATATTTGAATTGTGTCCTGACGTACGTCGTCTTAAACATAACCGGAAATCTATTTTTACTTTCAAAATTCAAAAATGTATTAGTTTTACTAAGAATGAATCATTAATTTAAAAAAAAAAACAATCTGTTTTAGTTTTTATACCAAAATTAAATATTGCTTTTAGACGTTATAAATTGGTGAACAATTCGGAGCTTTTTACTGATCGTCAAAGAGTTGTAATCCTAGAATATTATTGTATATAAATGCCTGATAAAAACCAAAATTAATCTCATTACACGAAATCTCGTTAAAACAGCGACGTATTTCCAGGAAAATATTATGGAGATGTGTTTCCCCACTTAAATTTATTTTAGTATCTATTACTTGTATGGTATCTTATAATGAAATTAAAATTTCTTTACCTTTTAATCGGAAAATTAATGAAAATTCTATGTTTTATTTGAACTTCGAAATGTTTAAAACTTGAGTATACATAATTCTTAGTTTAAAATGAAACCTTTTATAACCTAACCACTATGAGTATTTAGCCCGGGTTCGCGTTGCACAATATTAAACGGTTTCCAAATTCAATATCTCTCTCCTTGGCGATACCATAAATACGCCACTGTCGTAAATATTAATGTTATACCATAATATTAAAAAAAAGAAAAAAAAAGAAAAAGAAAACACCCCGTAATTCCATTGAGAACCGGAATGTGCGAATCGTGTTCGTACATAATACGCGTTTAAAAAAAAAAAAGGCAATATAGTAATACGTTCGCGCATTAGATTGAACGATGACGTTCAGGCGTATAATAATAATAATAATAATAATAATAATAAAAAAAAAAATGTACAATATAAGCGCATAAAATATTATGTTTGCGTAACCGTCATTCGTGTGTGCAAATAATAATATATTTCACTACTGTGATGCACATGTCACTTATTTCTCTAGACGTTTTTATAATATTATTATTAAAGTAATATAATAATGTTACATCCAAGCGGAAAATTAATTTTCCCCCTTCCCCGGCTCACTATTCAAAATGATTATTATAAATATGTAACGGTTTGTAACAAATCGTCGTCACACACGTATGGAAACATATTCCCGCCTATATAACTGACTGTTATTATATTTAAACATATATACGTTCGGTAAAATATGAAAAAAAAAAAAAAAAAAACTATACACATACATTGATATTAAATTTCCCTCGAAAATTTAAGAAAGAGCTGATACTGCTGAAAAATGTGCTACCACTGTTATAGGCGGGAAGCTAGAAAATATCGGTATACACTGAATTATTTAATTTCTATTTGTGTAAAACGATAAACGATTTCTCGTTAAATACAATTCTTAGCCGAGTTCGGTTGAAAATGTTTTGTTGTTGATGTAACTACATTTTTAATTCAACTTTTTTTTTTTTTTTTTAATGTTCGTGATCGTACAGAACGATATAGCTACGATTTCTCATTATTTTTTCTGTAAACTGTATACTACCCGTATAATTTAATACATTTCAACGAAATACGAAAGTGCGCTTTACTGTATAGTTTAACGACATATTAAAACAGCGTTTGATTAATCTCTGTAGATAAAGTTGTTAGACCAAACAGAAACGGTTGAAAATTTAACAGGAGGTTTATTATAAGCTGCAGTCAACGAGAAAAAATTGAGTTTAGTATAATGTGTTGGTTTTTTTTTTTTTTTTTTTTTTTTTTGAGAATTTTGGAATGGAAAATGTTGACAAAAACCGTAAATATTACGGCCTTTTAAAACACCTATAACCGAACTCCACTCGGAACTGTTTTTCGTTATCAATGATTAATCGTTGCATACAAAAATACATTGAGTTCCCCTCTCTCTATATCCTACCTTATAAACTTTTCACCTATAATAGTGGCCCACCAATCGTGCGAACTTTGCCCGTATTTTTTATTATTATTATGGTTTTTTTTTTTTTTTTTTTTGTTCGTGTAAACAAATTATAATATTGAGAAATTTCGTAATGCGGTTTTTCGATAAAAATATACATTTAATGCGATGATAGAGGCAGGTTATAAACATTATGTAAATGGTATAGTCGATGTATAGAATACTGCGGTTGTATATTATTTATGCATTTTCTTTTACGAGTACTAAATTATTAATTCACACACTTTACGCGTAAATGATATAATACTCGGATTTTCATTGAAGTTTAGCACGAACCGACGACCTTTTTAATTAAATAATTCTATTTATAAACCTCGCACGACGTTATATATTTTTAGCGATGTGCCGATTGAATATCGTCCGCGGCGTGAAACCAACTGAAATGTGAAATTCGCATAATACTAAAACGACTGTTCAACGGCTAAACGATATAAATTAACAACACAATAATCAAATACCTATAAATATATTAATTTGAAATTTCTATAGAGCGTATGACGGAGATCTGACACTTGAAATGCATTTTCTTCTTTTCAATATTTTATTTTTTCATAGCTAATAATTACTGGTAAAATATGATTGTTTATTTTTTTTTAGGTGAGTGCCCTTGTAAACGTACTCCGCTCAGAATCGTTTACTGCTCGCAACTATGTACCGTTCCATAACGTGTATAGGCTAAATTATGCTTTAGATTATTATCCTGCCATCTCGACTTTATACCTACAATTATAGTGGCCAGTGGTAGTAACAATGATAAGTGTACTATACGAGCCACTGTTAAAACGTCTCGCTAAATCATAACTGGACGTTAATAATTAATTCAATGTGGTTTAATGCTGAGAAATGACCACAAAGTCTATTTGAAGTCGTACTAAATGGTCAAAAAAAAAAAAAAAAAGCCGATTAAATTTTTTTTACACAGTATGTTAAATTGTTCATTTAAGGTCAATTCTTGACGAAAACCTTAAAAAATACTGCATTCTAAAATATGTAATATAACCGAACGTTACAATACGTATGAATGTTTACTCAGCATCGTATTTGGTAAGCAATAATTGTTAATCGTCGCGTACGGATATAAATTAAATAATTTTAGGTATCCTATTTTTTTATTGTTTTTTTTTTTTTTTTTTTTTTGTCTTTTCCCGTCGTCACGTCCCGTCATTGAAAATCGATTCATCAATAAGTAATAATAATAACGTCAACGTGAAACGTCGAGGCGCAAAATTACTATATTATTTACTATATACGTACCTATACGTGTCGCATATTATAATATTATAATGTTTGATCGTATTTTATGCATTGCCGCTTTTAACCCGCCCCCACTATATAGCTCTGTATGGATACCATTTCGGTTTTTTTTTTTTTTTTTTTTTTTTTATATATTTATATCCCGAGTGCTTTTCGGGGTATAAGCTGCCATTCTAAAATATGCATCAAATTAATCGGTGGCCCGGGAACGACCTAAAAGCCTCTCAGGGTCCTTCGCCGCATGTATAATATACGGCGATATTAAACCCGGGTGAAAAGTTTTTAACGTTCTAAAACTTGCCAGACCGTTTTATTTTATTAACGCTTGTGCCTACACAAACTAAACTTTATACGTACCTACTACCGGCTATATACTTTATACATAATATAGAGTGTACGGCAAATACTAACTTATCATTTTTTTATTTTTTTTTTTTTATTTTACTTCGATTATAGCATTTCGTCACTATACTATATTATAATATCGGCGTAGTGTTATAATATGTAAAACGAATATAATGCATCGGTATCCGGCCGCGAGGTCAAAAAAAAAAAATAATAAAATAAAAAAAAAGATCAATCACGCGCGTTATACGAATATTATAATCAATATAAAATATAAATATAATATTTATTCCCATAGTACGTCGGTACCCATCAAAAACATTATACCTAAGCTGCGGCGGTATGAAAATTAACTATCGAAATGAATTCCGATAAAAAAAAAAATGTCGCGTGACTGTTATATTTTCGACGGGGGAAAAAATACCCTGTTCGACATTTTAATGCTACCGAGCGCCGAAGTATAATATATTATGTAATTTTTTATTATTTTTTTCCGTCACCGATGCGCAATATTATATTTTATTGAAAAATCAAAATGCTACGCCGTATAATCAGTAAATTATTCCAAAGAAATGACCCGTATTATCCGGAATGATATTCCGGGTAGACCATAAATTACCGAAAATATTATGAAAAAAATCGAAACCGAATTTTCCGGGAATAGTATTTCCATTATTAAGATATTATTATCAATGACTCTGTATAGATACGGATATGTTATGCGCTATTATCACGGTGATTACCGTGTCGTATGTTATTCGGTTTGGTGGCAGAACCCGGAGCAACAAGAGACATCTAGTATTCAACCCCTTATACTATACTAAATTTTTAATTAATATATTATGTTCATTAGATTAAAACTATTTTAAATGCCGTTGTTGTAATAAAATAAGTAATATTTTATCGAAAAATATACCTTTTATTAACAATGTTTGTATACAATTATAATAAAATGGACGGTCGGGTTTTTTGTGATCAAGTCAGATTTTATAATTTTTCGGGTATACATACATTTTGAAGACGATTTCTCGCTGCGTCTTAAAGTAATATTTTTATATACATTGATGTTGAAGTTGATCTAAGCGTTTGAAATACCAAGAAAAACAAAAGTTAAATTTTAACCAATAGTGGTGTCGCTGCGTTGCTAGATGGCGCTAATTGTAGTTTGAAGACTTGCTCAGTTTGTTGGTATACATTTGTAAAAAAAAAAAAAAAATAATAATAATTATACGCCACCGATTTGTTAAGTAACGATATCATTAATATCATAGCTTGTAGATTCGGTAACTAATAACGATTCCTGAAGAGTATTCTTTCGATATATTTTATTTGTTTTCTCGTTTGATATTTTCCGTAATTCGCGTTCGGAAACTGCTATATCTCTTAATAGCATTATTTATTGTTCATTATTTTACTTAGCAAAAAAACAACGTACTTTATCGAGATTCAATTCCGATGAATGAACGTTTTTCCGAAAAATAAGGGCCGTTCAAATGATTTACCCGATTCGTACGCGGCCCCGCGAAAAATCGATTGATAAATAATTGTTTTTTTTTTTTTCTTTCATTAATTAGTATTGTCAAATAAAATCGTTTTGTTAATGAATAATTATTGCCGAACATATTATATTAGGCATTTCGCAGTAGGCATTACCTTAATCGTAATACCGTACATAAAATATTAATATTTATTATTATTATATGCATTTGACAAATAATTCTATTTCGCGCGTATAATGAATTGTAATGCAATGCAAACGACCAATAAAAATTATCATTTCGGTCACAAGACGAAGTGGATTAAACAAAAAAAAACGCTCTAAGTAAATAAAATAAACGTAATTTATGCAATTAAAAAAAAATATGTACCTACCTATCTACCTTTGAATTAATATATTATTTGATTCGAAAACACTGACAAAATAATGTACACATCATATTCTTTGACAGTGCTCTAATTAAAAAAAGAGAATATTACTATCAGGTACCAATTAGATTCAATATTATACTCGTAGAATACACGGATGTGGAATTAAAACCGCTTTGAATGTAAAAAATATAAAACCAGAGGTAAATATACTTATATTTATTAGTAAAACAAAAAACGTACAAAACATGATGTTTATTTGTTCAAGACAAACAATCTCTCTTGTATTTTTCGAAATAAATTTAAAAAATATTAGTCTGCGATTTTTAAACAAATAATGTAATATCCTAACTGTACGGAAATCATTAGAAAAGGTGTTATTCAAGAAAACGATTATTTTTTATGTAGGCACGTACCCATATCTATCATCGCGAGAATGCAAATGTACATTTTTAATTTGTACACGAAAACTATATTATAGTGCATTAAGTTTTTCGAACGTATTGTAAGTACGAGTGCAGATTGTGTTACGACATTATGGTATGGGTTTCGATGTCGATAAGAAAATAAAAAAAGCTAGACAATAGACATAATACTTTGCAACCATGGGATAGGTACGTAATGTATGTAAGAAGTCGGAAATGTAAAGTCTATGATGAATTAGTAGGCTAATATCGTTAACAATATCTGAGCGGAGCTCGGTATACCGCAGTTAAAGTGTTAATATGTAGTCTCAGTTATTATTTCCCTATGAGCCTACTCGGAAATCAACAAAAATAACGTGACAATGTGTCGTTATTCGTTGTCAGTTAATTTTTTTTTAAATTTTAGATAATTTTTGGAGAATATAATAAAAAAAAAAAAAATGTCGCATTAAGTGCTGTGAAAAATCCGCATATTTGAAGATACCGTTTGAAAAAATCCGAGTACTTTTACTAATCGAACAAGTGCAAAAAAAAGCACAGCTTAGTAATTAGCTCGTTATCACTCGTACGCTCGTAAGAATATGTTATTTAAATTTACCTCTTTAAAAAATGAACGCAGATATTGACATCTGACGAAATAATCAAAAATATGGTTAAATTTACAAAAATGCACACTATTTGTGAACGGTACGCGCCACAAAATGCACAAAACTCAAATTCATTATAATATTATTTGGGTTGTCAAGCTGCAGTCTTCAAATTAAACGAATATTAATTGTAACCTATTAAAATAACATTACGGCGGCTAATGAACGAATAGGATTTTATATTGTCTTACATTAACATAATATGACGTATTATATTTTGTTGTGCGCAATTTTCTAAGCAAATGTAGAACATTGTAAAAAAAAATTAATATTTATCGGTATTCACTGATACCCAGGTCTATTGATTAAAGTTTTTTCAATTTTAGATAAAACATTTTCAACGAGATATTGCAATTTGCAATAATATATTATTTTTTTATTTACTTTAAAATACATTCGACAATAAAGACGGTGTAACGATATGATTAAAAATATTTAAATCGACGTTAATAACGAACGTCCTACTCAAAATTCGGTTAACAAAAAAAAAAAAACAAAAAATGTTTCTAATAATTTTTACTTACAATCAACGATTATTATGGCACAAATCAGGTCCACGCTGATACTGTATCGAAAACTCGAATAATCAAACCGATACGTTTTTAATTGATTCGAATAACAGGCCCAATATTATTTGAGCCTATTATATATTATATTATATTGTGTAACGTTACTTATAGGAGACGCAGTATTAAAAAAAAAAAATAAAGTATTCACTTGTTTACGCGTTTTTTCAGTGTTTGAACAGTTTGTAGGAATAAATCGATTATAACGAATATTTCGGATAGAAACTAAAAACGATACGAACATCTTAAGCATTCAAATCTGCAAATATGATAATGTTTACATTGGGCGCAAAGTGTGTCATCGTATTTACTCGGTCTTGCACAAGCGTTTATATTTATCTATCCGTTTCCAGGCTCCAGAATCAATTCAAACGGGGAAAAAACCGAAATATGTTCAACATACAAAATTAGTCTGGGGGACTCTCAACCCAATGTTTTAACAAATGACGCGTGCAATTCAAATTCGTTTTTCAATTTTGACTGTATACTACGCAAGATTGTTTGACTAATTAGCATTGCGGTTTGATCTTCTGGAAAATTGAATTCAACCCTCTCTCTCTGATTCGGTACTGACTTGATGTAATATTGATATTTTATGTTGTAATTTGAAACACGTGTGATCTAGTTACGGGCGCAGCCGACAAGTCGCTAACAAACTATTCGATAGAAGTCGATCGCTTTCGAACTATTCGATAACTGTTCTCCCGCGTAAAACTATTCGCTCATTGGAAAACATATTAAAACGAAACATTCGCTAGTTCATCGAAATGAATCTATTGATAGTAGAAACTATTCGGAAACGCCAAACATTGCCAACTTTATAAATAATATTATACACAGAATTTAAAACGGAATCCAATTAGTTTTTTTTTAATTATCATACTCCATCGTTGAATATTTTTCAAATAAAGTCGCTATGGCTATACTGCTATAGGGGTCGGCATTTAGTTTAAGAATATGCATATATTAATTTTATGTCCGTGAACTTTCTGTGCGGATATTGTATCGAAATAAAAACAAAATATTAATATAGAAAATATTCACTTTGTGAATAATAATCCTTTGGGAATATTATAATAAATATTATGGGATATTTTAGAGCTATTAAGAAGATTGCGATTCACGTTTTTTTTTTTTTTTTGTTCCCACTCCCGTCCCTCGAGAACTAATTTTTAATAAAAGCTAACCAAAGCTTTATGTATAAATAAAAAAGAAGGGGAAAAATGATTTTCTTTTCTAACAAAAAAAAAAAAAAATAAATAAAATAAAATATCTGCGCAATTGTAAAAATAAATAAAGTATAGCGAAGTGTGGCGATTTCTATTCAACGTCAGACAAACATACACTTGCACACAATAGACTTTATATTTTTTCTTCTACGAGTATAGTATGGGTAATTTTTTCTCGCACGCCCATAACAAAATATAACTGTTTACCGGATGAGCCTTACCCTCCGTTATATTTGTCACGACGATCGACGATCATGAATTATTTTATAGAAAATTATAGTCACAAAAAAAAAAACCTATGTTTTGTATGTTAATGCACCGAAAATCCGACAACGACAAAATAATGACGTTGTGATAGTAATATTTAAATTTATTTTGTACAAATGTAAAAATAAAACACAATTGTATGCGTACTCGTCTCGTACGTACTTATTTTTTTATTCGATTCGTAGAAATAATAATATTTTTAAATATTATAATCAATGTGATATTTAGTATTTTCTTTATGCTGCTTTTGCTATTTTAATTTTTAACCAAATTATTGGCTTAGTACTCCTATCAAAGAGAAGATAAATCGTTGCATGCTAAAATACCTCCAACTGGAGTATGGATCGAATTTATTCATTATTTTCAATATAACTGCAGATGTACACAAAAATCAAATAACAAAAAAAAAAAAAAAAGACCTAGAGAGTGAACTGCTGTAAATATCAGTAAATTGTTGAAAAAAAGTTTAACCGGATTAAAATTTTGTATCATTCTGGGTATTTCGTGAACAAAATAAACGATCGGATAAATTCTAACCAAAAAAATGTTAAAAAAAAAAACAACTTTTAAATGAAAAAATAGTCTAAATAATGTACCGTCAAGCAAAAAATTCCATTGTTAAGGTAAAATATATGTACTTTTACAAACCTAAACATTGATTTTTGAAAAAAAAAAATCACTCGCATATCTTAGAAAAAATAATTCGATTCTTCGTTACGCCACGACAGTATTGTCTTCTATCCCACTAAAAATACAATAAATTACAGTATACATGTTAAATATGACGTTCATTATGTATGTAAATTAAAGTTATACAACTATTAATGTATTTTTAAAAACTTTTTAATTATTGCAATACATTTTTAGTACAACTTGTGAGATTATAATGGATAATTATTTGTATGGGTCATAATTATGGTTATAACCTACGCTTTATATAACATTTATTTTAAATTCAATGCAAATAGTATACAATAATTTAACAGTTGTGCGCTCGTGTATAACAATATTATAATAACTATAATAACGTGGTCAAAACATAAAATCGTGTAAGGAGTTAAGTTTACAAGAGTTAATTTGTAAAATATGAGTAGGTAGGCAGTATAATTTCGAAAATGTCTTCGAGATTTTATCGCCCCCGTGATTATAATAGTATATAAATACAATTTTACAAAATAATAGCGGTCGTTTTTTCTCCACTCTAATTAAGGGGCAAACAAGAAAGTTTTTCATATTATAGATGTTCTTAATTATTTTTGTTCCAGACTTTCTTACTCATTTTATTTTATGTACTATATAAAAGCTATTTAAAAAACCAAACCTCGAAAATTACTCTTTATTATTATAATATTATTATGTTTACAACTAAAAATTATGGCCGCTAAAACTTTGCACCGCGCCGCCGGGATTTTTAATAGAATATTTAAAAAAAAATTACTTCGCGTCTAGCGGGCATAATTCTTCGGATATTGAACACTTTAGTTTTAACAGAAAAAAAATTACGTACATGAATACATTAATATATTACGGTGTTCGTCATGAATAATATTCCAGTTAATTTCCGCGTGACAAAAAATCTGTTGGGTCTGCATTATGTAGCGTAATAATAGTTTGTTAAAAGTTTTAACGATATCATAAATATTATCTGTTTTGATATGAAAACATATACGCGTAGATGTATACGTACGGTTCCCGTTTAAGGCGATAATTTTTAGAAACGGTGTAATGTAATTTACTGTCGTCCGACAGATTTTTCATCGGGATTTTACCGATTTCGGTCACGTTCTATAATACATTATTATGATGTGTGCTTGCGAGCAAATTGATGTTTAACACAATAATTGACCACGCGAAATAAATACTAAAGCAAAAATTGGTTTTTAAAATACCCAAAAGAATAGCAACACGTGTATTTTGGTTATTAAATCCTATTTCTTTAGATAACTAGTTGAACGAAGAAACTATTAGTAATATAGGTAGGTTTAAAAAAAATGTTGGTTTTTTTTTTTCGTTTTGGTTAGTAAAAATGTACCGAATTTTTCACGCAATCTTCGGGGAAAATTATTGTGAAATTTTCGGCCGGCGGTAATTTAGTTTATCGAAATCAGTTCACCCCGTAGGTTCTTCTTGTGGTGTTATCAAAAAAATTACTTACGCCTTTACTTTACATGGGATCGTTTTTCGTTGTTTTCAAAATTTATTGTATGAATCATCTTAAAGTAGCGTACTAATTCAAATACCTACTCACCTACAACAACGTGCCACGGCCTAAAAAACGTACTGGTTTTAGATTCTGAGTGGATCGAGGAATGTATTGGATTTTATAATGATGTTTGTTTTTTTCCTGTGAACGACTTTTCTACCAGAAATCACTTTTTCTTAAAGGAAATTGGACTTGGGCGGTACTTTATGAAGTACATTTTTTGATTTTCCCTGGGGCTTTCATTATAAATGGGAAAAAACGCAGGGAAAACGTACGAAATGTTTTATATTCAAATCGTAAATATTACTGCCTTTTAAAACATGTATGATCAAACTCCGCTTCCAATTGGTGCTCGTTAGAAAAGAAAACTCTTTGCGTACAGGTTTACGTTAAATTTTTCCCTATATCCTGCTCTCCCTACTTCTCACCTACAACAGTAGCCCACCCATCGTGCGAAATATGTCCGTATATTTTTTCACGTTTATACTTGGATTGTGTTCTGTTGTCAAAAGAAGAAATTATTTTTAAAATCGCATGGAATCTATATGAATGTATCATTATATTATTATTTTATAACTATAAATATCCGAATTTGAAATTATGGGCTTGTCATTTATTTCTTTATCAACAATTTATTTTGATAAAAACCCGTGTACGCGGATCTTAAAACCGGTATTGAATAACGGTTAATACCTGTATAAAACTGAAAAAAAAAAAAAAACTATAAACACAGTATATTAATAAACCGAAATCGAAAAATGTACAATACCGATATTTGGAATTGAAAACGAACAACAATCAAGATTTAATGCCGTTACGAAATCTTAATGCGGAACAAAAATTGTTTTTTCTCCCTTGTAACAAATCCCTGATACAATCAAATTTTTTAAACAGTTAGCAAAACAAAGATTCAATTAATTTTAACAAAAACAAGAAATGACAATCCCGATTTATTACAATACCGTTGTGCTATCGGTCATTCAGACTGCCGGCCCCGGACATCTCGGAAAAGCGTCCGGGCAGTCAATAGACACCGTGATGCGATTAGAAATCGGACTCTATCCCGGTTACATATTATCATAATATCTATTCGAGACAAAAATCTAAACGCTTTTTCAAGATTCGTCGAATTTTATTTTAGCGATTTTCTATAGCGAGTATTTATAATAATTTGTATTTTCCTCGACCCGGAACACTGATTAATTACCGACCCGCGGCCTTAATTAAGTAAAGTTGAAGTGTATAAATATTATATTTAGTAATACATACGTATTGTACACGTTATAGAAACGATTCGTTTTACTCTAAATGCATATTATATGTCTGTACCCGTACCCTATAAGGTAAAACCGTACTTCTCGAATAAATCAGTCCGGGGTTAAAATATTTAAGCCCGTGCACCTGTATCAAAGATACCGGGCCACGTCGGGAATTAATATTTACGGGCTGTCGGTATTGTTATTATTAGCGCAAGTATTGTCCCCGGCGTAGTGATGTCGAATAAAGTTTCGACCAGCTGCATCGAACACGTGAATCACACTAATACACCCCGTTTACCGACCCGTCCGTTTTCGAAAATGAAATACACACGTTACTCGACTTTTTTTCCCCTTTCTTTTATACTGTCATATGATACAAAGACGATTGTTTTATTCGCACGCTACTTCTTGCAAAGAAAGCGCGTAAGTAAATTGTCGACGTTTTTTTTTTTCCCATAATTTTGTTTTGTACAAGTGCGTTTCCTTTATTTTGTAGTACGTTATACAATACACGTATCGAAATTAAAATAAATATATTATGCAAACGACTCGAGTCATTTACGCGTATTCAGATTAGGTTATTTAACAACAGTTACGTCATTATGTCGTCAAATAATTTTCAAAATTGAATTCGCCGGTATTCAACATTGTCGTCTCAAGCCCTTCTCCCTGTAGGAGCAAAGATAATCATCGCAAGTATAATATAATAAAAAACATACAACGAACGTCCAAACGATCCGTTCTGTGACCCATAAAATATTATAAAACGAAAACGAGAGTCGCGTTTTTTCGACAAAAGACGTCACGGTGAGCTCGCACAAAAGTTTTGTACTCGATTATTTTTTAACGAAAATTGGGTATACCGACGGTGTTGCAGCCGACCGCGTGCGCTATGAGTTTTCGGAAACCGCTCGCCGCGATTTACCTCGCGGGCCCGGGGACACACCCCGGACTAAAGTCCCACTCTGAAACTCTCACGGCGGCGGCGCGACAGAGGTAACGCCGAAATGTACGGAAAAAACTACCGTACCTTTTTGTAAAACCTCGAGTTGGTAACCTTGTGGAACCCCTTGCGGAACGTCACGTGATAGTCGTCCTGTTCGGCGAACTTGAACAGTATACCGGTGGCGGTCCGGGTCACCGAGTACGGTCCCTTGTAGTTCATTTTCTCGCATATGGCCGTCGCCTTCTCCAGGTTCAGCTCGTTACTGGGCGTGATCAGGAACGCTCCTTTGGCCAGAAAATGTCCCGAGTCGGACAGCTCGTCGGACGACCGGTCGTCGTCGTCGTCGTCGCCGGCGCCGTGGTCGCGGTCGTCGCCCGCGTGGTGCCGGACCGCGGACACGGGTCGCCGCCGGTTGTACGTGCCCGTGCCGATCGCCATGGCGGTCGCCTTGTTGCCGTCGTATGGACCGGACGAGGGCGAGGGCGACGACGACGTCGACGGTTTCTGCAGATGGCTGCCCGGACCGGTGGCGATGGTGACGGCCGTCGTGCCGATCTGCTGCATGTCTCGGACCGCGAAATTTGACGGCGAACTCGCGACTGTCCGCCTCGGCCCCGGCCCGCGGTTACTTATACGCGAACCGATTTTCCGTCCTGCCCGCCGCGGTATACCGGCGGCGGCGGCGGCGGCTGCGGCGGTACGTCGGGCGCGGCGGTTTTTATTCGAACAAACGTGACAAACGGACGGGCGCGCCTTGCTCCGCTACGACGGCGGCCGCAGCGGATGCCAATATTCAAGATGTAATTGAAAAAAAAAAAAAAAAAACCCATCAACAGGAGTGTATCGGCATCGCCGTCGTCGTTATTGCATTACTATTAGGCGGGCAGGCGGGCAGATGGGTTAGACGGGCGTATTATTACGCCGGGGCGAACGACGACGACGACTATAACGCGGTGTGACGTGACGTCATTAAGTATGGATGTCGCGTGTGTGCGCTCGCCTCCCCCCCCCCCCCCCCCCCCCNCCCCCCTCCCCGTCCGCAGATCGTTTCCGTACGCGGACGAACCTCTACAGCCCATTACAATATCGCCGTTTTCGGATTATCGTTTAATTTCGTTTCGCGCCGCGCGCGACGACGGCGACGGCGACCGCCGCGGCAATAACGACGGTGGCGTTACGAGGACAATCGCGTTTCGCAGTGTTACACGCTATTACCGTTGTTATTGTTATTATTGTCGTACGGTCGCCGCGAATTCCATAACCGGGCGTCCGTAATTCGAGCCGGTTTCGCAGTTTCCGATTACGGACGGCCGACTCCCCGCCGCCCGCCGTCGCGGTCTCGTCCCGTCCGCAACGGCTCGATACCGACCACCGGCTTTTCGACGACGGGCGCGCGCGTCCCGTACGCGATCATCAACGTGACGCGTCAGTGGCGATCAACGCGAAGCGTACGGGGGACGTTCGCCCGACTGCCGAGCGCATTAGCCTTTTTTTTCGAAATTGTTTTTTTTTTCTTTTTTTTTTCGGAAACCGCGAGCTGCGCCACGCCGGCGTTGAATTCGCCGTTGTTTCGCGTCGTTCTCGTTCCCGGCAGCGCGCTGTATTATAAAAAAAAATCCTTGAAATACACGCGATTTTAGTTTAAGTGAATTCATATTGATTCCCATCAAGCCGTTTACGCGATGTTTCACTCGTACGATTGCCGTTTCGAGGGGTAGGGTCGATAGAAATAACGAATTTCAACGCCGGCGTTCTATCAATGCTAATACCGCGTGTGCGTTTATGGAATTTTTAATATCGGTTGGTATTTGAAATTCAAAAATGGATAGTAATAACGACGGTTTCTTTTCCCAAAAAAAGCAGGGCGGCCACGATAAATATTCGCCGTTTTAGAGGTGTTCGTTTCTTACGTTTTCTAAAAATTGAAAATCCGAAAAATAAGTTAGCACTTTCCGAGATGACGAGTGCCTCGCATCACACTGTATACAAGATAATTATTCCGCTTAAAACCTACTTTGATATTTTGTATTTGTATTTGTATTTTTTTTCTAATCTCCCTTTTGCACAACACTTCCCGGCGATTTTATTCCGTAAGTACGATTATTATGCACCGCACCCAGTCGTCTCCGTTCACTTTTATTATTTTATTATAGTGGCTGGCATTATTCGCCTAAATGTTTGCATTATTTTTGTAACATTAACCGCGGCCAAACGAATTGTCGTTGTTTTTGATTTCTGTATTACGTCATTTACTCGCAAACGATACACAATTGTTTATTAAATTGCGTTTTTACACAACCTGTCCCATTTTTGCGACGTATTTCCGTGATTTAATGAGACCGCTTCGCGATCGGTATAGGCTAGGTGCAAGTAAACAACAACCCGTGTGTTTAAAAAAGCTTGTGAGGTCACCAAGGATCGGAACGTATTCGATATCAATCGACGTCGTCACCTTGAAACGTGTTTATAATTCGAACTCGATGTATAAAATTACATTTTTCAGACATTTCCCATGATCCAAATGTAAAAGCGATTTCAGGGACAACAATATTATGCATGCGCTTTAGTCTGGATTTAATGAAAAAGACTTTGTAAAATATACAGGATACAGGTTAATTTACTTTTATATAACGAAAATCTTAAGACACATCTTTGGGCTAAAAAATCGATTTGTATATTGTATATTCGTTTCACTTTTATACTATAACCACTAGATAAACAAGAAGGCCAGAAATCGACAAAAATAAAATCGATGTGTCATCATTTGTGATCTGAATTTTTTTTTTTAAACTTGCTATAGAATCACACCGGTACAGGAAACGAAGATACATTTTTCAAATAAAAATTACCACAAACCGCATTATTTATCGTACGGTGTGTATAATTTTGAACATGTTTCACTTATGTATGTGAAGTTTTTAATGACGAAGAAAATCGTTTTCCAAAAATAACACGTAATTTTCTTAGTAGAAATAATGCAATTCATTTGAATATGAATGTATTAATACCATTCGGTGGTTATTTAATAATTATTTAGTCATTTTGAATAAATAGAACCGAACGAAATTAACCTGAAAGCCAAATATATAACGTTCGAATTACGACTTTGGGCGGCAAGAAGTGAATAATATTTCTACAGCGTCAAATTTTATAACAATAATAATAAGCCCGTCAACTTTATATTCGTTTAACTGTTATCTTAAGAATTTACCTCATTGTTGAAGTTTAATAATTTATTTCGTAAATAAATGCTAAGTGCGCAAAACCTTTTGTAAATACCTTTATTGTTTTATCAATATTTCCATAAACGTTTTCGGTACTTGAATACTTTTCGTGATATTTATACATATATATAGGTATATAACCCTCAAATGCTGTAAACTTTACTCAAACCCCCGAACCGCAGTCTTATTGAAACAATTGCATAATAGGAAACGCACGCGGTAAAACTTCAACGGTATCTTACGAAATTTCGGAACATAATATTATAATTTATTATGGAATCATAATTTAAAACTATGAATACAATATGCATTTACAGTTTAAGGGCATTATACAGTATATATTATATACGTCTGAAATTCTATAATATACGAATAACGATAGTCGCCATTTTTTAGATTCTGAGCGAAACGAGGAACGTGTTGATTTTACTTTGATGGCCCGTGTTTTTTTTTTTCTGTCTACGAAGAACTTTTTTAATTTTGTTTCAGAATAGATGTTATTCATGAAATTCTGAGCAAGATTTGTGGTAAAAAAACAGACAGAAACAAATAATAACAATAATAATAATAAAAAAAAGCATACATCGTAGTAAAACCAATACATTCCTTACTGTGTTGAAAAATTTGAAAAGAATTTTACTTAATACAATGATATTATACCTATTTCTCGTTAATTTATTGTCATTCAAGTAATATTCGATCTTAAACAGGAAATATCAAAAGGAAAAAAAAAATAATTCAAGTAGCTACTACTTGGATTTATTATCTAACCAACAAAGTTAATGATTGCAATTACTCACTTATTACCACTCCTAAAGTGTTAACCGAAAAACGAAGGATGGATATTAAGGTACTATAATTCTGTAAAACTGGTAACAGTTCTATATGTCTTTCAGTTTGAAATATATTAATAAATATTAAATAATATTGTTAAACGTACATTATCACTAAATTGATAATAAGTGAGTAGGTGTACGTAAAATTAAATTAAAATAATATTTGACGTTCGCTGTTATTAGGTGAGTAAATCGAAGTACTACAAGTCAACCAAATAGTTTGTATAATTATAGGACGTTTAATTCTTTTTTCGTCTAAAAACGTTAAACTTTAAACAAATAATATACTACATGCTTGTTTAAATTCGTGCATATTTGATGATAGTTGGTTTAACTTTTGTTTATCTTGATTTTACATAATATAGAAATTATAGTAGGTAAGTATATACTGCTTTTCGTTCAATTTAAAATAATGACAAATGTTTGTAGATAGTTTTTACTACTCATCGAGTGCATTTCTTTTATATTAGACTTACTGTCGTATCCCATAGCGCGTATGTGTTTATTTTTTTTTCCCAAACTATAGTGAAGAGGTGTGAAAATATAAACAAACAAAGGGTAGAAAAGAGTACTTGTCCGTTTTGAAGGTCTATTGCTACAGGTCTGTTTATTTTGTTGGTTACGCCAACCATGACATGTTCCTATTATCGTTTTCGTTTTTTTATTTTTTTTTTTTTTTTTTTTTTCGTTGTTATCTTCGAGATGAAAAAAGAAAACCTTTTTCAGTGATCAATTCATCCGTAACCTGATCTGCTCGTTTACCATCATTTTTTTCTTTTAGAGACATTGGCAATAAAAAGAAAACCTTGTACGAAAGAAAATATTGCTTGTATTTTTGTTTTTATAATATATATACTTTATGTCATTTTGAACATTTTCAAAAGGGATTTGTATTATATAAAACAGTGGGACGTACCGATATAATATAATCAAAATGACAATGATACGTGTGGTTATTGAAATATTGATATTGAACGTTAAGGTAAATTATTGAGAATTGTTACATTAATTGATTATTTTAATATATTCAACTAATTTATCAAAATATAATATAAAAAATCGAGCTTTTTACTGATATTTCTCATTATTAAAAACAAACAAAAACCCATACGACTTTTCATTAAAATAGTATCAACATATTATTTTCTTATTTAATTTGTATATTATATCCTTTTTTGATACTCAAATTGTATGTTTGTTCACTGACCGCTATACTATGAAAAAATATAATTACTGTGTAAGTATGTTTTGAAATACAATTAATATATATTTAATAAAAAATTTATGGTCGAAGAATAATTTTTTTGACGAATTTGCTTTGTATTGTATAAAACTTAAGTTAAGTTTGAAATATGTTGAGAATGAAAATAACGTTCTTGTTAAGAAAGTTATTTGTGAGAAGTGATATTAAGTATATTTGCATAGCTTATTTGGTTTGAATAATTATTAATATATAGTTTAACTTAACTACTTAACCACATTATTTTTCAATAGTTTCTATTTTGAATACTTTTATAATATTAAACATTTTTT